CTACAGGAGCAACGAACCCACGGGCGACAGGCGCAGCAAGCTCTCTGGGTTACCAGGACAGCGCCCCGAACTACAGGTGCTGTGGACGACAAGACGGCAACCTCCTCTCAGCCTCCCCAAACAGTCCCACCCCCCTGACACACACCCGTTGCTTCACCCCTAGCTCCACTCCCCCGTCACCCCCCCTTAGTACCACTCCAACGGCTCCAACAAGTCCACCTCCCCTCAGCGGCAGCTGCAGCACAGGGAGACGGAGGAGGAGGAGGAGCTGGGAACGGCACACAGTGGGTTCACCCCGATACCCCTCACCCCCCAACCCTAATTCAGGAGAATGGGGAGTAGGAGGGGTGGGGCGCTAGTCGAAGCACCGGGGGACAGCGGGGAGGGCAGGGGCAGCAAGGAACGGGCCCACCACGGGCCTGGTACAGTCGCCCGAGCCGCGCGCGGGCCTGGCGCCGCCCGTACGGGCCGTGCGCGGGCCTGGCACAGCCCGTACGGGCCGCGCGCGGGTCTGGCGCAGCCCGTACGGGCCGCGCGCGGGCCTGGCGCAGCCCGTACGGGCCGCGCGCTGCCTGTACGGGCCGCGCGCAGGCCACGACGGGCGACGGAGGGCGACGCGCGGGTCCCCGTCGCCCGTCGCGGCGCCTCCCGAGGGCGACGCGTCGAACGACGGGGCAGAAGCCCGCCGCGCGCCTCGGGGCGCACAGCGGGCAGAAAACCGCCGCGCGCCTCGGGGCGCACGGCGGGAAGAAAAAACTGCCGCACGCCACGGGGCGTGCGGCACAGAGAGTAGCAGTAGGAGTTGCAGCGGAAGCAACGAGGTGGTGAGCCCACCCACAGGATCGATCCAAGAGGATCGACCGACTCTGATAGCATGTCAAAAGTTTAGAAGAAAGAAGAGGGCTGCACTAGCAAGAATGAGGATACAAATAGCAAACCCTAGAAGAGTTGTACTCGCTATAGAGCACCCCACTACAGGCTAGAGCATAACATTCTGACAGGTTAGTCAAACGAGCATCGTGTGTACATCTTTACGACCCACCTTGTGAAATTCAACCAGTCTCGCCTTGCATTGCTTTGCATGTAAGGGCGCGTAACAGTTTTGCACTTGACGGTTCGAACCGTGGACCGTCTGGGTTGGCGAAGTGTAACAATTTCCGCTGGTTGTCGTAATGCTTTTCGTCAAGGTGTTGGCGATATCGCCAACAAAACGGACTTTTCGTCAAGCTGACAAAGAGGTCCACGCGTTTTTTTTTGCATTCTGTGAAGGCACTAAGTTCGGTTTCGAGGCTGAGGGAATTCATGACCCGCCTTTAAAAAAGGAAGAGAAGCGTTATCCGTAGACCCTTTTTTTTTCCAGAAAACAGCAATGGTACCGCCCACACAAGTGTCTCGACCATACAATCTGCTGGGGTGACTTGGTGTCACTGTGGTGTGCTTGCCTTGGGCCCAGTTTGGCAGACATAAAAAAAACGGGCGAGGGGGAAGGGCTACAGTGAACCGACCACCCTGGAACCTTCCTTGATAAGCGCGTTAAAGGTGATCAAGGCTCGATAAAAGCGGACTACGCCGAACCTGACAGTGATGGAATGCCAACCAAACACCCCTTTTTTTGCAGGCGTTTTCAACCGCCTGAATCTACACCCAAACGAGTTTCTCTGGCAAAGTGCCCATTTTCTGATCCCCCGCACCATGCGGCCTCGAGGCCACGCACTATGCGGGGTATCAGTGATTCGGGGCGATCAAAAGTGACTGGTCAAATATGCCAGCCAATCACATGATCACGCGAACCATCATGGCAACTGCTTACCATCTTCCGCAAAACCCGAGATCTAGATAGATGCCATCAATCTACACCCAACCAAACACTCCACCCCGTTTTTCCGAATGGGCACTGCAGCTACAATCCGATTTCGATGCTGTTTCTCGAAATGCCCAGGCGGCATTTTTTGGGGGCCCGTTAGAAATGCCCATTGTGGCCATAATGGCCATGATGCCTGCCAAACAGGGCCTTGTTTCTGGGGTGGGGTGGTTGGGCGGTGGGTGTGGAGTGGAGCAGGGTTGAGGTGAGGCAGGGAAGGGTGGTGTCCATGCACTCATGGCGGTGGGCTGTGTTTGTTTGTTTGGTGAGCCTTGCGTGTGTGGGGGCATAGGGAAGCGGGGAATGGCGGTGGCGCAGCATTCGAATGCCATCGGGATCTGATCGAGCAGGTGTAGAGACTGCTAGGGTGCGGCTCGTTCGCCGTAGACGATCTCTCGGTGTCGCATGGAATAATTAAAACTGCTCTGCAACTTCTTAAGAACAGTATCAGGACAAAAGCTGCTTGTGCGTAATTTGACTTCTATTCGTCGAAAAAATCAGAGTTTCGCAACAAGACAAACCTCTCTCCTGTGAACTGCCTGGGTCAACCTCTTCCAAGCGAAAATACAGTCGATGCTCAGCCTATCACAAAACTTTTGCTCTCCACAATTAGTAAATTAGTCACTCGCGAACGTCCTTGCCGTGAGTGACTAAATTGACCATTGTGCCGATTTCGGGGTACAGTCACCAAGTTGAGGAAGAAAAACATCTACAGTGTATAAACAATAACGGTTGCCCGTCGTCAGAGAAGTTAACCTGGTTACGAAATCAAAACCCTTGAATCGATTCACTTTGCAGTTTCATATTAATGTCACATTTTTGCCCGTGGCGACAAGGGCGAAATTGGCGAAACGACTCAAAAACGTTTCACGCACAGGCCGCCCGCCTACCTGGTGTTCTTGAAATGGGCACCGACTGTACTTTGAAGTTGAACTTGATAGTTGCACCTCGGCTTTAACGGGCAGAGCGCGTTTGTGGCTGTGAGGCATTGGCCCGCGCGCTGGCATGGTCCTTAGAATGCTGGGGACAGCCAATCTCGTTCGTCGTCGGATGAAGCCTGTTGGCACCTCATTCCAGAATCTAAACCAAGGTGTGGTCCCAGAAAATTATATTTCGCATCACTCCAGCGCGTGCTGCCCGCATCTGCCGCTGCCAGCGCGACAGCCGCCCATGGGTACATGTCTTTGATGTAAGAGCTAGCAACGAGAACGTGCGGTGCGGTGTAACTATTTCGCACACCTATTTTTCTCGTTGTGGCAGATCCGCCGCGCTGCTAGTCACTAGTGCACTTCATTCACACCACTTCCTTCGTGTTCGGAAGTGTCTCGGGGGAAATCTCAGAACAGCATGCTCTTATCCGCGTAATCCGCACTAAGTCAACGAGCATAATGCTTCGGTAAGTCGTCTTCTCACCACAGAATTGCCGATTACGCTTCGAAACATTTGTTCTTGAGGCCTCCTTACGACCTCCGCCCTGATTTGTGGGGCACCATAGGCTCTCTCTGTAGTAGTCCCACGAGTAGTTCGTCCCTCACTTGTAAAGCACAGTCGGGGTGCTATAGAGATAGCGGATTAAAATTGGGCGTCCACGGGAGTACTACTTTTAGTACGGACCCAGTCCGAGCCCAGGCACAAAGCTCGCTTCCAAACAGTTTGTGTACTTGTGCCTTCTCGGTTCTGAAAATATATCCGTCTGCTAATACACGCGTCAGTATTCAAGCGTCCGACTCCGTATCACGGCGGCTTGCCTATCATTTTCCGAAACCTTCGCTTCCGCGGCGAAGCGCGCAAGGTATTCTGCGACGGGCATTAGGAGTCGTATGTCAGTACACTGCTGACGCCAAGGTTCGTCGCTAAGTAAGGTGGCGTCGCCGCCAGTGAGCTTTGCGACCTGCGTGGCGACAGATGCGGGGCGGCGCGACGCACGCGGCGGCGACAGATGCGGGGCGCGACGCACGCAGCGACGACAGATGCGCTTCGGCGTCGACCTGAGAACGGGGGCTAGCAGCTCAAGCGGGCGGCGCGCAAGTTTCTGGTGATTTTTTTGGAGTCCACCACCACGGCTCAACCCTGACGGAATGTCCCCTGCTGCCACCACCGTCACAGCCACCCCTCATGCTCCTCAGTTTTGTGCTTCTACTACTACTGCTACTACTACTACTAGTGAATGTAACGGAGCTGTTGTACGCGTTAGAAGCAGTCCATTTTTGCCAGATTGTTGTCTTGACGACGCTTCGTCCGAGGCATCCCTTTCTGGTTCTTTTTCCTCTGCCGCCGGCGGCGGCGACGCTTTGAACAGTAATATCCCCGTTAGTATTACGTTCCGGCGCCTTCCGTCGTATCGAGGCCGAATAAGCCTCGATAATGGCAGCGCGACGAGCGCAACAAGCGTTGCCAGCTCGTTATTCCCGGGCGCCTCGGCTGGCGACGGCTCGCGATCCTTCTTCTCCCCGTCGCACACGCGCGAGTCCATTCGCGCGGACCGCGATTTGCTACTGTCGCGAGCCACCAGCGACACGGCGTACGCGGCGAAGCTGGCAGCCTCGGGCGAAATCATCGGCGAGGGTTACCACACAAGAGGAAACGAAGCCGCATCGGAGACGGGAGGCTTACTAAGCCCAGATCCAACCAGACTTACTAATGCAACGATTCCCGCGGCGGGAGGAGGAAATGTCGGTCTAGGGTTTACGACGGAAGGCAACGCGGCTAATTTCAGCTCAAACCGCCTGAGCAGGCTTGAGGAAGCGAGGTTTGCGGCGGAACTGTCCCCGTCGACGGGAAACGTCGGGGGCGGAGCGACGCGCCACTTGCGCCAGGCGGAAAGCATGAAAGCGCGGCGAGCTGCGTACGACTATTTTTTTCACAGCCCTTCCGCCGCCCCGCCCGGCGGCGTTGACTTGCCCGTTGTCTCGTCACGCGCTGCCGCGCTGCCGGCGTGGGACTCCTTCAGTCCGCTTTTCTCCGGCCGCGAATGGCAGCTCTACGCCGCATCCGAAGACTCCAGCGGCGGCGGCGGCGGCGGCGGCGGCGGTTTCGACGGAGCTCAGTGCAGCAGCGGGACTGGCGGTATCGGGGCGGGTTCAAGAGACTGGCGCAGGGGCTTCATGGGCTCCGCGGAGGGATGTGGCGGGGATGGATGTTACAGCGACGATTTTCGAGACGACGAGTCGTCTGGCTTCTCGTCCCGCAACGGCAGACGCAGCCCATCCTTCTTCTCCCCTCCGCGCCGCCACCATGACAGCAGCGTGTGCGCTCCGCATGACAGAAGCATGTGCGCGCACCGTGACTCTGAGAACTCCGCCAGGCCCTTCTCCTCCCCTCCGCGCCACAGCGCTTCTCCTCCGCGCCACGGCGCTTCTCCTCCGCGCCTCAGCGCTTCTCCTCCGCGCCACAGCGCTTCTCCTCCGCGCCACAGCGCTTCCCCTCCCCGCCACAGCGCTTCTCCTCCGCGCCTCAGCGCTTCTCCTCCGCGCCACGGCGCTTCCCCTCTGCGCCTCAGCGCTTCTCCTCAGCGCCACAGCGCTTCTCCTCCGCGCCACAGCGCTTCCCCTCCCCACCACAGCGCTTCTCCTCCGCGCCTCAGCGCTTCTCCTCCGCGCCACAGCGCTTCCCCTCCGCACCACAGCGCTTCCCCTCCCCGCCACAGCGCTTCCCCTCCCCGCCACAGCGCTTCCCCTCCCCGCCACAGCGCTTCCCCTCCGCGCCCCAGCGCCTGCGCTGTCCATGACGTCCCCGCGGACCCCTACTCCTTCCGCCCTCCGCGCCAATCCGCTGCCGGGACAGCGAGTAATGAGCATTCATTGACGAGCCACAAGGGGGGTTGCAGCAGCTCCTTTGTGTCCCCACTGCATCGCCGCTGCAACAGCTCACCACCTTTGCCGCTGCCACAGGGGCAGGGGAGAGACGAGGAGACGCCCGCAGCGAATTCAGCAGACGAATCTGTGGATTGGCTGTGCCAGGTTTCGGTACGGCCCCTGAAGCTTATACCAAAGCGCCTGTACTCGTTTGAAGCCCCTCAGACTGCGCTCACCTTCCCTGACATGACCTCTCCTGGACATGCCACACCTGCGTTTGAGGAAGCAGCAATACCCGAACCTGCTTCCGAAGCTACACGCGCGCCTACGCCCGAGCCTGCTGCTCGCCGAAGCAGCCCTGGGCTTCTTGACGCTGCAGCTGCATTTAGACCCTTTCAGCCAGAAAGCAAACTCACTCCCACTACCACTGCCGCTGCCGCTGCCGCTGCCGCTGCCGCTGCTGCTGCCGCTCCTGCTGCCTCTGTCAATGCTGCTGCTGCTCCTCCTCCTGACCTGCACCCTCGAGAACGAGCCCGTGTGCAATCCTTTTGCGGCGCTGCTGATTTTCCCTTCCAGCCATACCTTTCTCCGGATTCTACACCCGTGAGCGGCTTCAGTGGGCTTGTTCCCTGGTCCGCCCCCTGTGCTTCGGATGGGGCCATGGCTCCGGAAGACGGCAGTGTCACCAGCAACGGCAGCAACAGCACTCGCAGTGGCTGCGGTTGTGGCAGTGGCGGCGGTGGTGGTGGTGGTGGTGGTGGTGTTGGTGCTGGCGATGGCAGCAAAGGTAGTGGCGTGAGGCGGGGGTCCGGTATGCAGAGCAGGAATGCTATGGGCGGCAATGTCAAGTGCAGCAGCAGTTTCAATTGCGCCAGCAGCATTTATAGTGGGAACATGGGTTTCGGTGCTTGCAGTAGCAGCAACAGGGACATGAATAGCTGGGGCAGCAGGAGCAGCACCAGCAGCAGGAGGAAGAGCGGGAGCAACAGGAACAGCAGCAGCAGCAACTTCAGTAGAATCAACAGCGAAAACAGTGCGCGTTTGTCAAGCCAACAAGACACCTGCAGCAGGTGCCCTTCACGTGATGTGCTGAGACAGTTTTGGAAGGGAGAACGGAGGGAAGAGCAGGAGGAGCAGACTCATCGGAAAGTTGGGGAAGCAGGGAAGGAAGAAGGGAGGGAGAGGCGAGCAAACAGAGCCGAAGGTGCTGAGGCAGAAAGGATCAAGGGAGGAGGGGTGGAGGGAAGGGAGGGGTTGATGTGGCATGGGGCAACAGACCGGGAAGTACTGGTAAGAGGCTCAAGTCGTGATAGGTTCAGGGCCAGACTGAAGAGATGGATGTCCAAAATGCAAATGAAAATCTGATAGAACTACTCTAGCTGTGTCAAACATTTGGTTAATTTATGAATAAATAATGATCTTGAATTCCAATCCAAGTCATTAGCAATGGCCAAAAGATCCTTCCTGCGACGCATGCATGTGTACCGCTCCTGAACAATCACACTGGAACTTGCAAATGGGAAGTTACAACGTTCTCGTCCATCAATGATACACAATGGGGTGGGTGGTGGGAAAGTAAAACTAGAAATTGGAAATGAAGAACGTGGGTGGAGCTACTGAAATCACGTTCCTCTTTTGTAGGCAAAAGAGGGGTGAGTAGCGTCGAGCCGCTACCTTTGCTGCGTTGGCCACGTCCTCGCTTTCACAATACGAAAATTGAAAAAGTGTTACACTTTTAAAATTATAATGTCAGGGTCAGGTCATTCAGGTTGCATTCTTCCCAAGCAACTGGCGCCACCACTTGGACTTGCCAGCTCCGACAAGTGACCCAGGATCCTTCTGTTGAAGTACTACACTCGATAGTGTCCTTTTCAAGAATGCTCCCTTGCTTCTTCTGCACCCAGATGTACCCCCAGTCGTAGGTGTGGCTGCTCCCTCCTCTTCCACATCCTCGGTGAAAACTACCTCGTCTGATTCTGCACAAGTCGTAACAGCAGATGGAGAGCTGCTGCTTACAAAGCAAATCTCGTCCGCGCTAGCGAAGGGGTCGGACACGGGGACGAAAACCAATCCCGAGGTTCCGTCCCGGCGCTTACTTGCCCTCGCGAGAGCGCGTTCTCGAGGCGAGTCTGGAGCCTGAGTCGCCTCGGGAGCGTCCGAGGGAGGGATGAAAACAACCCCCGATGCTCTTTCTCTGTATTTCCTCGTCCTCGCGAAAACCCGTGTTCCTGCTGCTGCTGCAGCCACCGTCAACTCTGCTTCAATCTCTTCTGTCGACCCTGCTGTTGGTGCTTCAGAGATCAGAAATTCTTCCCCACCCGCAGCTTGCAGCTGCTGCTGCTGCTCCTCTGTTCTGAAACTCCCATCCCTGCTGGAGTGTGAAACAACATGCAGCTGTTGCTCCTCTTTCTCGCGCTCGTCCTGCTCTATCTCCTCCTCCACCTCCTCCTCATCCACCTGCTCTCCATCCTCTTCCTGCTCCTGCTCCTCTGTACTTTTTTTACCTTGCCAGTGCTGCACCCGGTTGCGAGTCCCCTGAACCTGCACCGCTCCGAGCCTCACGCCGTACCGCCCGCGCGGCGGCTGCTGCTGCTGCTGCCGGCTGTAATGCTGCGGCTGCTGATACTCGCTATAGAATCGATGCGAGTGGTGCCAATCCACAGCACCAATCTCCATTCCGTCGGCGTCATTTCCCACATCATCATCCTTTGCGTCGAGCAATAAACCTTGTAACGAATTGTGCTGAAACGGATCTTGCTGGTGACTGAAACTGCGGCGAGATGGCGAGAAGAATCCCGGGCTCGAGGGAGAGAGGCGGGGAGACGACTCGGCAGACGACAACTCAGCACCCGTCCACGTGTCACCGCCAAACCCGTTGCTACTTTCCTGAACATAACCGCCATTTCCGCTGCCATTTCCGGCGTCATAAGCGCCGTCAACTTCGCCGTCAAGCCCGCTGCTGAGTCTGCTGCTCGCCCTCTCGCTGCTCGACGACTCGTGGCTTAGATTAGTCATGACGGTGGTCCACGTGCTGTTCGACACGTGGCTGCCGCTGCTGCTACCTGTCGACGTTGACGTGGCGAACCGCGCGGTCGCGATGGCCTTGCTGACTACAGTACCTCTGGCAGCACCTGAGGTAGAATGCGACGGGTCAGCTGCTGCTGACGTGGCATCAGTTAGCGGTTCGGCAGGGTTGCAGGATGCTTCGAGGAAGGCAGCGGCAGGCCCGTCGTCGACGGGAGAAACTGGTAACGAGGGAGGTGCGGGAGGAGACGCGGCAGCGGCAGAATTCGCCGCGCAGCCCTCGACACCGCCTGTAGCGACTTCTCCAGCGGTAGCAGCAGCAGCAGCAGCAGCAGGGGCAGGGGCAGGGAGAGGCGAGACCGGAGCACCTACGAGGGGCGACACCGTCCTAGCTATGACCGTTATAGACGTAACGCGTTGAGGCGGAACGAGCTCTTCTGGTAGTTGATGAGCTCGAGTATTTGCATCAAGTTGATGCGAATCACGGGTATGATTATAGGGGGGATGAGAATGATGGGAAGGATAAGGCGGAGGGCCGGGATGAGAATCACCATCGTCAGAATATCTGACCGCCGCCCAAAAATCTTCCTCAGATATGCTCACCCGCCTAGCGCTGCCGCCCCTGCCGCCCAGGTTAGTACCACCAACAGTAACCCCGCAGCTGAAGCTCCCGCTTCCCCCCCCGTTCAAGCTTCCGCTTCCCCCACCGTTACTGAAACTTCCGCTTCCGCCGCCGAAACTGCCGCTATCGCCACTGCCGCTGCCCCTGCTCCCGAGTACGCCCCTCAAGCGAAACAAGTTACTGAAGGTTTCGCCAGCGGATCCTTTCGCAGGGACACGAAAGAAGCTCCCGCTCCCGTCGTCGCCGAGGTCGCACGACCCGTCGCTGAGCAAGCCGATGCTTCCTTGTCGCTCAAACAAAAAGAACGAATCGCGCGCGCCCGTCGACGCCGCAGCGTGCGACGGGGAGAAAAACGAAGGCGAATCGCACGACGACGCCGCGACAGCCGCTTCCATTTTCAATCTCCGTAAAAGGTCGATTCGCGGCGACTGGCTCGTCAGAAACGCCACATCAGCACCGCCGCTGCTCCCAGGACCGCTGCCGCTTAACCCACCCGTGAGGGGACAATCCCCCATACCAACCCCGCCGTCGACGCTCGTTCCCGGCGGCAGCGACCATCGTTGCGCAGAAAGCCGTGCGCCGTTCTCTGTGTCTCCGCTCTGGGCGGAAAATTCTCCGCCGGGGGCGGGGGAAGCAGGAGAACACGTCCCGTCGCCGGGATAAGCGGCGGTTTTCACGGGGTCCTCGCGGGGCCTTCTGCTAAGAGGGCTGTTGGAGGCGGGAATGGCGGCGGGGGACCTGGGCGCAATGGCATGAAATGTGGGGAAGTCTCCGGAAAAAGAGCGCGAGTGTCTGTGCCGTGGAGCGCGGCGGCACTCGGCGGCGCGCTTGCCGCGGGGAGAAAACGAGCGTTCGCGCGGACTGCAGGCATCCGCGGAAGGTGCGGCGGCGACAGCCGGGACCGCTCCCACACCGCAGGAGTCATCAGCGATCAGTGCGGCGGATGATGCGGCGGGTGGTACAGCGGGTGATGCGGCGGGTGGTGCGGCGCATCCTGTAGCAGCGGCGGACGTGCGCGAAAGGCGCGATCCTCCGGCAGTGGACTGAAGATGGTGCGATGCTGACATGGTTGGAAGCATTCGCGGCGCCGAAGCGCGCAAAACCTGTGGCGACATGAAGCTGGAATGGGCCTAGGCGAAATGGGCCTACGCGAAATGGGTCTAGGCCGAGTGCGGACGGGACAGTGGGAGGACAGAGGGGAAGGAACACACACAGCGAGAAATACTAAAACCAGGAACAATGGGGACAACTGGGCTGACTGTCCTACTCCTCTATCTGCGTGAAAAAAAGTCTCTTATTATGCGGATATTGTTTATGCTTTGCAGTATGTAGCGACCTAACCTAGCTGGATCACATAAGCTGGCGTTACGAAGTGAGGACACCATAAAGACGGAATTTAGTCCTGGAGTAATTTGGACTAATGGACAAGACAAACGACCACCTAAGAGTCTCGTAACAGCGGAGCGAGAAGAACCGCTTCTGAAAGTTCGCGTCCTTTTTTCCACTTCGACGCGTAGGACAAGAGGTAAGCGACCAACGTTAAGCTTTCTGCTGTAAACAGAAACCAGCAGCTCCTGCGAACAACGCAACACACACGGTGCGCGCTCAACCGTGTACTGTACTGAATTGTGTACTGCATTTCAGCTGCACCGTGTGTCGAATCAAAGCTGAACAAGTGAGTGACCATATGAACACAGCCTATGAATCAAAAGGTGGTAACAATGGGCATTATCGAATATATTTTCGCTGATCGACTCGAAACCGTACAGAACCCTTTGAAGACGCGCCAAACCTCGCAAGAACGATACGGAAATCGATCGAACTTGATGCCCGCTAGATACCCATAACTTTTCTCGTCATTTGGGTGATTAGTGAGCAGCAAGTATTTCGCCTGAATCGCCACGGGCAAAACCGGGACAGTAGTGGGCAGGTGTAACCAGCGTCTCAAAATATCTCACGAACGGACGGATGCCAGCGTGATAGGGTGGATGTTCAACGGCTTGTATCGTGCGTGCAACTGGCTGGTACCAACTGTAATTGGGCAGGCTGTTGGGATTTCGCAGACCAAATTTGCGTGCAACCACTGAGCATCCTGTGTACCGCCATACAGCCCATCAAAATGCGGGCTTGTGCACATTGCTGCAGCACGTGAAAAGAGGCGGGAAAAAGGGCAGCGTCCAGTGATCGTCGTTGTGATGCGTCAGCATGCGACGCGATTGTCGTTCAGTAGTCACGGCGGAACGAGACTTTCACGTGCAAACGAGCACACATACAGTCACGGACTGTACAGATACGTACGCCCGTACGAATACTGGATCAAGGGTGGTTACTGTACAGCATGTCTGGAGGAAAGTAACAAGGGCTGACGAAGGAACAAGAAAGGACGGAGGGAGGAGGAAGAAACAAGGGCCGACGAATGTAACGAGGGCGGGCGGATTTGGGTGGGCAGCCGAGCCGATTCATAGGCGCCCACCCAAATCCGAGGGGGAGAGCCTCGTTACATTCGTAACCACCCTTGATCCAGTCGTTACATTCGTAACAGAGCGGAGGGGGAGAAGGGGAGGGAAGAAAGGGAGTTACTGTACACAGGAGGGGAGAGGGAGGGAGGATGATGCCCCAAGAATGGATATGGATGGTGTGAGGAACTGTAGTGTGGTGTGGCGTGAAGTGATGGAGAAAGCGACGCATCAAGGGAAGGGATGGTGGGAACAATGGCAGAGTGGGAGAGAGGCGGTCCTAAAAAGGATTAAGGCGGTGGCAGACTTGCAAAATGTCAGCAGCAGTGCAGCGAACCAGACGACAAAACCGGAGGTGAAAACGATTCAACTCGCCAATGACAACTGTACAAAGTGTACAGTACAGGCACAAATGGCAGGATGGGGTGGGTGGGGACCTTCGGGGTGTCTACAAAGGATTCACGACAACGACTTCAGCCGATACGTGTTCTTGCTTCGAAGAGCACAATCTGGATTGAGCCTGAAATACTCCACTTCCTTCGAGGATAGCAAACAAAATGACTACTGCTAACTTTTGCCTGACGCAGTTACGGAGCACCTCTATCAGACCCATCTGTGAAATTAGCTCGTATAATAGAGCATATTTTTGTTGTGCACAGCTCAGATACAAAAAACTATAATCGCATACCTGGTGCTCCGCCAATTTCTCTGGTTCTCAAGGTGTACAGTCCTGCTAGTCCGTACAACTAGATGCCATTCGCAATCTGTCGCAGGTGGATCCGATGGTCAAATTCGAGTCGGCACACGTGAGACTGGTCCTAAGGATCAACCAATCAGAGCTCATGTAGCACACACTGTGCTTGCCAGCTTGGATGGCAGATTGACCCACCTAAGTTAATGCAGATGAGTCAACCCCGAAACAGCGAGAAGTTCAGAAAGAAATTGAATGATACACACAATCGCAAAAACTAACTTATAACTACATAAATCCAGGTAACATGTATCCACTAGTGTTGAATTGATGCTTGCTGTTAGTGTGTGGATGTCTTCTATATTTGACGACGCCAATCAACACCCAAGATGTCTTTTGTATGGAGAGCACGAACATTACATCCCACGAGAGCAATACAACACACGCTGGAATAACCATCGTGCGAATAGAGCGCTGTGATACATTCACAACACATCCTAACTGCTTGGGCCTATAAAAAATGACTCTGAAATTGTCGCCTCGATGCTTTCGGGAGTGTACACAAACAGCTTACTTGAAGTCAAGTCATCCCTTCAAATAGGTACGCAATGTTCCGAAAAGGAAAGTCAAAGGAGATGGAAAGAAAGAACAGGGAGAAGATGGTTTGAGTCACACGAACCGCATTGTCATGGTCAGCTTACACTGTTTTCTTTTCCTGTCTTGAGAAAGCAAGCAGAAACTTGTGACACAGTGTCTGGCAGCACCATGCCAAGTGGCATCTTGCGGCATCGCCGCTCAGCACCGTGGACCACTTGGCTCGCTTCTTCCTCTGCAGCTCGAAGTCAGCTCAAGTCAACTTAAGTCACACAGCTGCACAAACTTGTCGCTCTCACTCACCAGAAGGGCAGCAACATCTTGCGGTATTGCTCGTGCAGCACCATGAACCACTTGGCGTGGGTCTTCCAAGTCAACAGCTCAAAGTCAGCTCAAGACAACTTAAGTCAACTCACAACTGCACGCACTAGTCGCTCTCACTCACCAGAAGGGCAGCAGCATCTTGCGGTATCGCTCGCGCAGCACGGTAGAGCACTTGGCGCAGGTCTTTCAAGTCAACTCAACACATACCAACTCAAGTCAACCCGAGTCAACTCGAGTCAACTCACCAGAAGGGCAGCAGCATCTTGCGGTATCGCTCGCGCAGCACCGTGGACCACTTGGCGCGGGTCTTCCTCCGCAGCTCCTCATCGGGAATGCACCACCGCCGCTGCCGCGCCACCAGCGCCTCAAACGCCATATTGAACTTCCGCAACCTGAAAAGAGGAGAGACGGGTGGTGGTGGTATGGTGGGGGGAGAGGTGAAGCGGGTCTTCCTCCGCAGCTCCTCATCGGGAATGCACCACCGTCGCTGCCTCGCCACCAACGCCTCAAACGCCCCGTTGAATCGCCGCAACCTGAGGGGAGGTGAGACGGGGGGTGGTGGTATGGTGGGGGAAGGGGTGAAGCAGGTCTTCCTCCGCAGCTCCTCATCGGGAGGTGGGCGATGGTCAGGGAGGAATGGAAGTGGGAGGGACATCGGGAGTGCACCACCGCTGCTGCCGTGCCACCAATGACTCAAACGCCCCGTTGAATTGCCGGAACCTGGGGGTTTAAGAGGAGGTGGTGGGATGCGGTGGGGGATGGTGGGGAATGGTGGGGGATGTCATTGTGTGGTGAGTCAAAGGGAGATGAGAGAGGCATGGCGTGGAGGGGTGGTGCAATGGAATAATGATAAAAGGCAGATAGAAAACAACACAGCCTGGGCGAGCGGGAATGGGGAGATGGTGGTGGGCGGGGGGGTGTGGGGAGGGGTGGGAAGGGATGAGACAGGTTGGGGAGGGGTGAGTAGTGGCGAGGAGCGGTGGGGAAGGGATAGGAATGTGTGCTGCTGCGCAGGAGGGTTGCATTGTGTGGTGAGTCAAAGAGAGATGAAAGAGGAGGGCTTACCTGTTGAGCCTGAGCTTGACAGAGTCAGTCAGCTGTGCCCGGGGGAGGCTCAGCTGACTGTTGAGTCGACACAGAAAGAGGAGGCTTACCTGTTGAGCCTGAGCTTGACAGAGTCAGGTGTGCCTCGGGGAGGCTCATCTGTGAGTGCTGCCATGACCTGCGGGGCGAGAGGGGAGGGCAGGGAAATAGGGAGCGAAGGGAGAGGCGGGCAGCGAGGCAGGGAAATTAGAGGACGAGCCAGGTGTGCCTCGGGGAGGTTCATCTGTGAGTGCTGCCATGACCTGCCGGGGAGAGAGGCGAATAGTGCAGGCCAGGAAGAACAGGGAGAGGGGAGAACAGAAATTTGAAATTGGGGAAAGTGGCAGGCAGGCAGGCAGGGAGGTTGAGAGACGGGTCCGAGGAGGCTGATCTGATTTCTGAGGCACCTAAAACTTCACCTCAAGGCTCGTCTGTAAGCGCTGCCATGACCTGTGGGATGAGGGGAGAGACGTGGGCGGGCAGACAGGCAGGCAGACAGGCAGGGAGCGAGAGAGGCAGGCAGACAGGCAGGGAGCGAGAGAGGCAGGCAGACAGGCAGGGAGCGAGAGAGGCAGAGAGAGGCAGGCAGACAGGCAGGGAGAGTGGCAGGAGCGGCAAGCAGGGAGGGTGAGAGGACGAGACAGGTGTGCCTCGGGGAGGCTCATCTGCGAGGGCTGCTCATATCCTTCACTCTCCACACTCACAGCAGCCAGCGCGCGGCTCTGGAAGGCCGTGGCATGCAGGTGCACGATTTGGCCATCCCTCAGATCCGTTCAAGTGCCTTCAGTCCAGTCCCCGCACTCCCTTCCTATACTCCCCTCCTATGCTCCCTTCTGTGCTTCCTCCCTGTCCCCCCAACCACTCACGGCAGCCAGCGCGCGGCTCTGGAAGGCCGTGGCGTGCAGTTGAACGATGTGGCCGTCCCTCAGATCCGCCATGGCTGCTGTTAGGTCCCTCGCGCCCTCCCTGTATTGTGTGGGGGAGGAGGGGTGAAAGACAACCGGACAAGGAGTGGTGTGTGTGTGTGCGCGCGCGCGTGTGTGTGTGTGTGTGTGTGTGTGTGTGTGTGTGTGTGGTCGTGGGGTTGTGCTGCTGCTTCGTCCCTCAGATTCGCCATGGCTGCTGTTAGGTCCCTCACACCCTCCCTGGTGTGCAAGGGGCGGGGGAGTCGAGGAGGACGGAGGGAAGATGGGAAAACATCGACGGAGGGAAGATGGAAAAAATCGACGGAGGGAAGATGGGAAAACATCGACGGAGGGAAGATGGAAAAAATCGACGGAGGGAAGATGGAAAAAGTCGACGAAGGCCGCAGTTGTGAGCTTGTGAGTAAAACTAAAAAAAGGTGGCCGGGAGTCAACTCGGGAGGAAGCAGGGGAAATGAGAAAGGGGAAGACTTGTGAGAATTGACTTTTGAGTCGACTCAAAAATGAGACAGCAGGGGAAGACTTCTGTATATCAGGTGTGTTTTGAGTCGACTCAAAAATGAGAAAGCAGGGGAAATGAGAAAGGGGAAGACTTCTGAGAATTCTCAAAAGCGGGGGAAATGAGAAAGGGGAAGACTTGTGAGAATTCTCAAAAGCGGGGGAAATGAGAAAGGGGAAGACTTGTGTATATCAGGTGTGCTTTGAGTCGACTCAAAACACACCTGGAAATACCTGCGCGCAGCAAGCAGCGAGGGGTGCGGGCGATGGCTTACTTGCGAGCTTGTGAGAGCGGGTGGTTGAGGCTGTCGACATGCCAGCGATACCAGTCAGCGCTGTGGGCAGTGGAGCATACCCAAGAAGGGGCGGGTAGGGGTGGAAGGGAGAGGGGATGATTTGGAGGGAGATCGAATGAGAGCGGGTGGTCGAGGCTGTCGACATGCCAGCGATACCAGTCAGCGCTGTGGGAGGCAGGGATAACAACAGGCGGGGGAGGTGGGGAAAGAGGGAGAGGGCGATGGGGGGATACGCGAAGGCAGCGAGTGGGAGTGAGAGCGGGTGGTTCAGACTGTCCACATGCCAGCGATACCAGTCAGCGGTGTGGGCACACTGGGACAACAACAGGGGGGCAGGAAGGGGGCGGTAGGACAGAACAGAAGCGGAAAAGAAGGGGAGTTCAGAGAAAAGAAGGGGAGTTCAGAGAAAAGAAGGGGAGTTCAGAGAAAAGAAGGGGAGTTCAGAGAAAAGAAGGGGAGTTCAGAGAAAAGAAGGGGAGTTCAGAGAAAAGAAGGGGAGTTCAGAGAAAAGAAGGGGAGTTCAGAGAAAAGAAGGGGAGTTCAGAGAAAAGAAGGGGAGTTCAGAGAAAAGAAGGGGAGTTCAGAGAAAAGAAGGGGAGTTCAGAGAAAAGAAGGGGAGTTCAGAGAAAAGAAGGGGAGTTCAGAGAAAGAGAGTCTGCGGATGGGTGTGTTCAGTTCAGGCTTTTTTGAGACGTCTCAAAAATACTCTTTTTACACGATGGGTGTGATCAGGCTGTCCAGCACAAGCTAGCGATACAAGTCAGCACTGTGGGTGGTGGGGCATATTGGAGGGGGGACGATGGGCATAGAAGTGGGAGAGAGAGAGTGAGAGCGGGTGGTTCAGGCTGTCCGCGCGCCAGCTATACCAGTCAGCGCTGTGGGCACACAGGGACAAGGGAAGGGGGGAGGTGGAAGGGGGAGAGAGAGAGAGAGTGAGGGAGAGAGAGAGAGGATGGGAAGGGGACGCGGCGATTGTAGTTGTGCTATGCTAGAAATAGTGTGCTGCTGTAGCTGTTGCCTTACCTTGTGTGTACCTTGGTGATATTAATACAACGGACCGTTCGGGAGAGGATGGGTGATTCTTTCAAGTTGTCCACATGCCAGCATCACCAGTCAGCACCACATGCACACATGCACACATGCACACATACACACATACACACATGTACACATACACACATGCACACATACATACCTCCACACATGCACACATACACACATGCACACATACACTACTGCACTCACGCGGACTGCGTGAGGTAGTGCGTGTTGTTCATGAGGAACAGTTGTTGCAGCTCTTCTTCCCAACCCAGTATGTACCTGTTACTCATGCGGACTGCACGAGGTAGTGCGTGTTGTTCATGAGGAACAGTTGTTGCAGCTCTTCTTCCCAACCCAGTATGTACCTGTTACTCATGCGGACTGCACGAGGTAGTGCGTGTTGTTCATGAGGAACAGTTGTTGCAGCTCTTCTTCCCAACCCAGTATGTACCTGTTACTCATGCGGACTGCACGAGGTAGTGCGTGTTGTTCATGAGGAACAGTTGTTGCAGCTCTTCTTCCCAACCCAGTATGTACCTGTTACTCATGCGGACTGCACGAGGTAGTGCGTGTTGTTCATGAGGAACAGGTGCTGCAGCTCTTCCTCGCGGTACTTAAGGGCACGCATGTATGAGGCGCCTCAAAAGTCCTTAAGGGCACGCATGTATGAGGCGCCTCAAAAGTCCTTAAGGGCACGCATGTATGCGCGCACGCACTCGCACACAGAAGGCAGATCAACCAGAGCACTCGCACTCACGCGGACTGCACGAGGTAGTGCGTGTTGTTCATGAGGAACAGGTGCTGCAGCTCTTCCTCGCGATACAGCCCACCGCGTGCTTCCAGATTCACCACCAGCGCGCTCAGCAGGTGCGCCGTCTCACTCTCCGCACTCCGCCCCGCGTGCTGCTGCCCTCCCCCCCGCCTCCACTTCCCATCCCCAGCCTTCCCACCGTCTTTCCCACCATCTTTCCCGCTGTCCCCCTTCCCACCCGCCGCCTTCCCGCCGCCTGCGGCCTTCCCATCGCCCTTCGACTTGCTCCCTTTGCCGCCCTCCTTCTCTCCGTCCCCATCCGCCTCCTCCTCCTCCTCGTCACTCGCTGCTCCTTGCTCCTCCAGCAGGTGGAAGAGCGAGGCCAGCACATCCAGGTAGCTGTTGTGGGTGGAGGGCACTCTGTGGGGTGGAGGGGGGTGAGGGGAAAGGAACCACGGGATGAGTGAAGCTGTGAGAGACATCAAAGGCTCCTCCAGCAGGTGGAAGAGCGAGGCGAGCACGTCGAGATAGCTGTTGTGGGTGGAGGGCACTCGGGGGGAGGGGCGGGGGGAGCGAAAGGCGCAGGATGAGTGGGGTTGAGTTTTGAGGCGCCTCAAAAGAGTGGGGTTGCCAGAGGCTCAAAGGCTTCTCCTCCCACCCCTCCGGCCCCTCTCGTTCCCCATCCTCTCCCAGGCAACTACAATGCGTTTTCTATCACCATGCCACGCTGATGCGTTTCCAGCAGAACATACGCTGTCCCACGCACTCTGATGGGTCACAAAACCCCATGTTAACAACACACGCGCGCACGCACGCACGCACACACACACACACACACACATACCGGCGCATGTAGCTGCGGATATAGTTGGCCACGTAGCTGGTGATTGGGTCAACTACTCCCCCTGGCGGCATGACGTCCTGAGTGCTCTCCTCTGCTGCTGGCGATGCCAATGTGGTGCTCGCGTTGCGACCCAGGAACGGCATTCTGTGGTGGAGAGAGGTAGGGCGGATGAAGGGAATGAAGGACACGAGAGAGGGGAAAGGCGTGACATCCTGAGTGCCCTCCTCCGCTGCTGGCGATGCCAATGTGGTGCTCGCATTGCAACCCAGGAACGGCATTCTGCGGTGGGGAGACGTGGAGACGGACGGAATGGGGTGGAGAGGGGTGTGATGAAGGGAATGAAGGGCAGAAGAGAGGGGAGGAAGGGGTAAAGGCATGGCGTCCTGAGTGTCCTCCTCTGCTACTGGCGATGCTGATGTGGTGCTGACCGTGCGACACAGGAACGGCATTCTGCAGTGCGGAGAGGTTGGAGCGGGCGGAGTGGGATGGAGAGGGATGGAGCGGGATGGAGAGAAGGAACACCCTGCACAGCTTGAGTTGCAAGATTGCAAGAGCAATAAATTGCTGTACTTGGTTCAGGCTTGTCCTGGTCGCATAACTGAACAGCCTCAACCAAAGCGGCTGCACTACCTACCTACTAACAACTCAATAGCCCCTCCCCACCTGAACAGCTTTGCAAGCGATGGCCTCTTCTCCCCCTCTCCTCCCTCCCCTCCTCCAGCCCCCACTGCCTCCCCGCCACCAGTAGTAGCAGAAGCAGCAGCACCAGATGCGGACGGGGAGGCGGAGGAGGAGGAGAGGGGCGGGGCAGCAGCAGCCATGGCTTGGACGGACTTGGTGGAGGTCTCGAGGAGGGCTTTGAAGCACCCACCCCAACAGCAGTACCCACCTGAGCAACAGTACCCACCTGAGCAACAGTACCCACCTGAGCAACAGTACCCACCTGAACAGCTTTGCGAGTGAAGCCTTCTTTTCCCCCTCCCCACCCTCCCCTCCTCCACCGCCCACTGCCTCCCCAGCAGCAGAGGCAGCAGCAGCACCAGATGCAGAGGGGGAGGGGGAAGCGGAGGAGGAGGAGGAGAGGGGCGGGGCAGCAGCAGCCATGGCCTGGGCGGACTTAGTGGAGGTCTCGAGGAGGGCTTTGAAGCGGTCGAATGTGTCGGCCACGGCCCGCGCGATGAGCAGCGGGAGGTGCTGGCAGGCTGGCCACACCGCTTCCATCTTGAGAAGGTTGATCGTGGCGGATAGCTGGGGGAACAGGGCGGGCAGGGGGGGTAGGTTTGAGTCGACTCAAAAGTCACATAGCTGGGGGAACAGGGCGGGCAGGGGGGGTAGGTTTGAGTCGACTCAAAAGTCACATAGCTGGGGGAACAGGGCGGGCAGGGGGGGTAGGTTTGATTCGACTCAAAAGTCACATAGCTGGGGGAACAGGGCGGGCAGGGGGGGTAGGTTTGAGTCGACTCAAAAGTCACATAGCTGGGGGAACAGGGCGGGCAGGGGGGGTAGGTTTGATTCGACTCAAAAGTCACATAGCTGGGGGAACAGGGCGGGCAGGGGGGGTAGGTTTGAGTCGACTCAAAAGTCACATAGCTGGGGGAACAGGGCGGGAGGGATAGGTTCGGCAGGGGCAGAAGGGAAGGGGTTGGGAGAGGTTTGGGTGATGAGCAGCGGGAGGTGCTGGCAGGCCGGCCACACCGCCTCCATCTTGAGCAGATCGAACGTTGCTGTGAGCTGGAAACATCAGCACAGTGGGGTGGAGAGAAAACAAGACAAGGGGATGAGATGAGACTAGGTGGAGGTTTCGAGTCTGCTTTTGAGTAGACTCAAAAGGGGAGGGGATGAGACTAGGTGGAGGTCTCGAGGAGGGCTTTGAAGCGGTCGAACGTGTCGGCCACGGCCCGCGCGATGAGCAGCGGGAGGTGCTGGCAGGCCGGCCACACCGCTTCCATCTTGAGAAGGTTGATTGTGGCGGATAGCTGGAGGAGGGGGGAAGGGGTGGGCGGGAGAGGGGGGAGAGGAAGGCATGCCTGATGAGCAGCGGGAAGGAGGCACTGGCAGGCTGGCCACAATTTTGAGAAGGTTGATTGTGGCGGATAGCTGCATTGGGAAACCAGGAAGGGGTGGGCCGGCATGACTTCTTGGGCTGACTTATTAACGCACCTCACAAGGCGACAAAAATACATGCAAGCTAGCGATGTAGGTTTTTTTTTTGTTTTTTTTTCTCTCTCTCTCTCTCTCTCTCTCTCTCTCTCTCTCTCTCTCTCTCTCTCTCTCTCTCTCTCTCTCTCTCTCCCTCTCTCTCTCTCTCTCACAAAATATTATAAGATAAACATAAAAATCAAGACCTACCTCTGGCATGACTTCTTGGGCAGCCCGAAAAGCATCGAGCAGCGAGAAGAGCTGCTCGGGCAGGTTACGAGCGATGATGGCGCGGAGGATCAAGGCGTGCTCAGCTATGCGCTTGCCCATGCCACTGTCCTCCAGAATGGCCCTCAGCGCCCCTCGCTCGTGCACCTGTGCGAAGAGCAGGGGGGAAAATGGCGGAGTAGTGGGGAGGGGATCAGGGCGGTGCAGGGATTGGGGGGGAGCAGTGGGGGAAAGGGGGGAGGATCAAGGCGTGATCCGCTATGCGCTTGGCCATCCCGCTGTCCTTCACAATGGCCCTCAGCGCCCCGCGCTCGTGCACCTGCGAGAGGGGGAATGGAGGGGAGTGAAGGGGAGATAGAAGAGTAGAGAGGAGTAGGACGGGACGGAGTACTTAATGAATATCGGGAAGTGCGACGAAGTTGTGAAGAGTATGGGGGAGTGGAGCGGGAGTAGGACGGGAATGAGGCCAAGTGACGTGGAGTGGGAAACCTGAGATGAGCTTCGCTACACGCTGGCCCCCCGTGGCGCTGACCCTCTTCAAATCCAGCACCCTGCCCTGCCCATTCACCCCTCCCTTCTGGTTTTTGAGAATTCCCAATAACCAGCTCCCAATGGCGCGCTTGCCCCCCCGTGGCACCGCTGCTGACCCTCTTCAAATCCAGCACCCTGCCTGTCCATTCACCCCTCCCTTCACCCCCCTTGCTCTCCCCTTTCACCTGCATGCCTCGCCACACAGCCGCTGCTGTCCTCCTCTCCATGCCCAGCAGCAGACGACCCTGCGCAGAGAAGTGGGGAGAGGAGGGGACACGCAATGGGTAAGAGAAGGGGAGGGAGGCGGCTTTTGAGTCAGCTCAAAGGTAATTTCGCCACACGGCCGCTGCTGTTCTCCTCTCCATGCCCAGTAGCAGACGACCCTGGCCAGAGGGGGGGAGGAACATCGAGAGGTGGGGAAGGAGGGGAGAAGAATGAAGTGAACGATGGGGAACCTTGCAGGTAAACGGGAGGGAGAAGGAGCGAAGGAGAGGGAGGGGAAGGGGAGGGGACGGGGGAAAGGGAGGGGAGGGATGGAGACAGAGGGGAAGAGAGGAGAAAGAGGAGGAGGTTGATACACATGGTGATGGCGGTGTTGGGAGGAGCGGGTAAGGAAAACAAACGCAATCTCCTCCCACCACTCAGCACCCACCCACGCACCAGAATGTACATATCCTGAGTCCACAGCTTGCTTGCTCAGCAGCCCCAGCTCCGCTCATGGCCACAGCATGTTCAGAAGATCACTCACCACCCAGCACCACCCAGCACCCAGCACCGCACACCACCACCCACCACCACTCCAAATCACCGCCCACGCACCAGAATGTACATGTCCTGAGTCCACTGCTTGCTCAGCGGCTCTAATTCCGCCCATGGCATGTCTGCGATCTGCCCTGCTGTCACCATCCACGGCCGCTCGCTCTCCAGCCGCTGCAGCGCGCCTTTCAGGCTGTCCACCCGCACCGACCTGCACGTGTGTGGGGTAGAGGTGTAAGAGGGGGGGGTAGACAGAGTAGAGGGAGACAGGCTATGTCCGCTATCTGCCCTGCCGTCACCATCCACGGCCTCTCGCTCTCCAACCGCTGCAGCGCGCCCTTGAGGCTGTCCACTCGCACAGACCTGCACGTGTGGGAGTAGGAGTAGAGGGAAGGGCGGCCGAGAAGAGGAAGAAAGGGTCATGTGAGTGGTCTGCCCGCCCTGCTGTCACCATCACGGCCTCTCGCTCTCCAGCCGCTGCAGTGCGCCTTTAAGGCTGTCCACTCGCTCAAACCTGAATGTGTGGGCGTGAAGGGAGGCGCGTGGGGTAGGGAGCGGGGAGGGACAATGGGCATGTGGGTGATTTGAACTGCCCTGCCGTCACCATCCATGGGCGCTCGCTCTCCAGCCGCTGCAGTGCGCTTTTGAGACTGTCCACTCGCACCGACCTGAACGTGAGGGGGAAGTTGAAAGGGAAACAGTTACCAAATTCACATGATTTTTTTTTAGCTAAATCCACCTGAACCCATCGACTTCATCTCCAACCGCCTGGAAACCCACCTGAGCCCTTCTGTTTCCACCTGACTCCACCTGACCCCGCCTGACTCCACCTGACCCCGCCTGACTCCACCTGAGCCCACCTGAAGGCCTCCACGCAGCGCACGCTCTCCCCTCCCGCCACCAGCCGGGCGGCCGTCTGGTTCAACCACCGGGCGGCAATCTCCGGCAGCACATGCAGCGAATCCGCATCCTCCAACTCCCCCTCATCCAACCCCCCCATCCCCTCCCCGCCAACACCACCCTCCCCTGCGCCCCCTCCGCCACCTCCCACCCCCCCTGTGCTGTTCCTGCTGCTGCTAGCACTGGTACCCCCTGTCACGCCGCTCTCAGGGGAGCTGCTGCTGGTGCTGACGCTGCTGGTTGCGGCAGCAGCAGCTGCAGCAGCGGCGGTGGTGGTGGCGGCAGGGGGGTAGAAGTTGCGGTGGAAGATGCGAGAGAGAGTGTCGACTGTGAATCGCGTGGATGCCTGCTGGCTGGTGTGGGGGCAAAGGGGAAAGGGGAGGGTGACGCGGAACATAAAGGAAATAAAGGGTTCATGACAAGACACAAGACAGTAGCAGCAGCAGCAGCAGCAGTAGCAGCAGCAGCAGCAGCAGCAGCAGCAGCAGCAGCAGCAGCAGCAGCAGCAGCAGCAGCAGCAGCAGCAGCAGCAGCAGCAGGAGCGGCATAACACCTCACCTCCGTCTCGACAGAGCACCCCTGGTTTCGTACTCCAGGCCCTCCATAGGTACCTTCAGCCATATGATTAAAAGTTTCGTACTCCAGGCCCTCCATAGGAGGCAAGAGATCAACGGATCTCGCATCCGTCAAACGGCAGTTCTACCTCCCCCTCAGCATAACATCTCACCTCCGTCCGTCTCGACAGGATGTCCCTGAATTCGTACTCCAGGTCCTCCAGGGCCCGCTGAAGCATGCCTTGCCTGACCTGACCTGACCTGCAGGTTAAAGAGTCTTCGTCTGGCCGACCTGCATCTGAGCAGAGCACAGACGCACAGTGCCTCACCTCCGCCTCGACAGAAGGTCTCTGAACTCGTACTCCAGGTCCTCCATGGCCCGCCGGAGCATGCCGTGCTGTGGGGTTGGCTTGTGGCATGCTGCTGCTGTGGGTGGGCTGGCCCTGCTTATGACATATGGAGCTCCTCACCTCCGCCTCGACAGGATGTCTCTGAACTCGTACTCCAGGTCCTCCATGGCCCGCCGAAGCATGCCGTCCGCGCGCCGCCCGGTCTCCTTGTCACGGGCCTCCAGCAGCAGCGCTCTCACGCTCAGCAGCAGGTCAATGGCGGGCAGGTACTCGTCCAGCTTGCAGTGCGGCCCCTCCTCTATGAACGCGTCCATCTGTGAAAGGGGTGGAAACAGGGGTGGAGGGGGGCGGGAAGAAGGGCACGCCGTATCACTCAGCAGCAGCAGTAGCAGCGGGTCGGGGGACTGGCGGGCAGGTACTCGTCCAGCTTGCAGTGCGGCCCCTCCTCTATGAACGCGTCCATCTGGGTTGGTGAGACGGGGAGGGTATCAAGGGGGAAGGGGGAATACGGAGAGGTGTGTACGTGCAAGACTGCACTCGTCAACAGCAGGTCAATGGCGGGCAGGTACTCGTCCAGCTTGCAGTGCGGCCCCTCCTCGATGAACGCGTCCATCTGCGAGGAAGAGAGAGGGAAGAACGGGGAAGGAGGGAACGAGTGATCAGAGGTCAAGGCGCGCCGAATCAGTGAAAGACGCAAGCAGGCCGTGTGCCGTGTGCCATAGCAACGAGGTGACTTTTGAGTCAACGGAAAATCGTTCAAGTCAAAATTGAAGGCTGCATCACACTGAGAGCAAGAGCGTGATGCCAATAAGGCAGACACCTGATCTAGCAGCTCCACCACTCGTCGCCGTGAGATGGGCGCAGCGCATCCCCCAACACCTTGGACGGAATACACATCATCGTCCTCTTCTTCTCTTTGGGGCCTCATGGCTGGTCGTCCCCTAGTGGCCACGTCCATCGTACCATCGTATCATTCTTGTCATGCCATCCTACCTGATCTAGCAGCTCCACCACTCGTCGCCTTGAGATGGGCTCATCCCCCAACACCTTGGACTCGTAATACACATCATCATCCTCCTCCCCTTCCCCTTCCTCCCCCTCTTCCTCCTCCTCTTCCTCCTCTTCCTCCTCCCCCCCCTCCCCCTCTTCCTCCTCCTCCTCTTCCTCCTCTTCCTCCTCCTCTTCCCCTTCTGAAAATTCCTCCCCTTCACTGTGCGTTTCTCTCACCCACCCCTCCTCATACCCCCCTCCACTTGCACCGCTCTCCCCCCCTCCTCCCCTGCTTCCTCTCCTGCTTCCGCCACTGCTGCTGCCGCCACTGCTATCCCTCCTGCCCCTCCTGCCTGTAGCTGCTACAGCCGAGTCTCTTGGCCCGCCAGGGGTGGACTGGGACTTGGGGAAAGCCGCTGCTGCTGCAGCCGCACCAGAGCTGCCGCCTCTGGGGTTACCTGCGCGCCTGTTACCACCAATAGGGTTACCACCATAACCACCCACTGCCATTCCTGCTGCTGCTGCTGCTCTTCCTCCTCCTGCTGCTGGTGATGTGTGGGAGTGTTGGTGGTGGTATTGCTGGTGCTGCTGCTGCTGCTGGTGCCATTCCTGCTGTCCTGGCTCGGACGCCTCCGAGCCATACGGGTACTCCTCTCCCGAGCCTAGCACCGAGGCTTGGTACAGGGACCCTTGAGGGGAGCCCACAGGTGAAATCTCAGGTGAATCCACAGGTGTTCTCAACGGAGTGCGGTTGCTGGGACGAACAGCAGGCAGCGCCACCCTACCAGGACCTGCCATCACAGCCCCAGCCACCATCAGGGGAATTGAGGATGCATCGAAACCCTCACCCCTTCCTCCTTCTCCCCCTCCCGGGCCCCCTCCTGCTCCCCCTCTTCCCCCGACCTGCCCCCCTGCTCCTGCTGTTCTAAAAGAGAACCCATCAGGAGAGGACGGGGAAAACTGATCAGCATAGGGATAAGCTTGCTGCTGCTGCTCATGCTGGTGATGCTGGGCAGAAGGAGAGTATTCCTGCTCTTCCAAGCCTCTGTAGCTTGGAGACATGCCCGGCGTCTGGTTCGGCGAGTGCTCGGGGGTTTGGTCCGGGGTTAGGTTCGGGGACCGGTTGGACGAATGGTGAGAGGAGCGCACAGGAGACGACTGGCCGGGGGAACTGATGGGAGAGTGGTCTGACAGCCGGTCCGGGGACCGGTGAGAGGATCGGACAGGAGACCGCTCAGGAGAATGTTCAGGTGAATGTTCAGGCGAGGAATCTGTTGGCGACAAATCGGACTCTCCCCGCCCACCTCTGTTCCCCCAATTGCCTGATCCGCTAAGGTAAACACCCACCTCGTCAACCACAGGAATGCCTATACTCCCTGCTCCTCCTGACCTTCTTCCCCCACTCGACCCTCCTGCCTTCCTGCTTCCCCCATGCGCCCCCCCTCTATAGTCATCCTCATATGACTCTCTCGCGTCAAGGTGGTCGCGCCCTCTACTAGAACGCTTGCTTGAGTCACTTTTGGTGCTTGACGTGCGACTGGCGTGTCTCTGTGTGGTGAAGGGGGGGGGGAGGGGAAGGTGGGATCGGAGGGCAAGTGACTTTTGAGTCGAACCAAGAGTCACTTTTGGTGCTCGACGTGCGGCTGGCGTGCCTCTGTGTGGGGGGGGGTGGGGGGAGAGGAGGGGAATGAGGATGAAGGGAAAGTGCCAATGATTAGACGAACAGGGTGTGTGCACTGCAGTGCAGTGCAGTGCGGTGCAATACATTTCGCTCGTCACATGTGCATCAGTGTCACTTGGTGCGTGTTGATGCGTGCTGGTGCTGCTGCTGATGCGTGCTGTGCAGCTGATTGTGACTACAATCACCCGCACCGCTCACCTGCGACCCATGAACACCTGCGAGACGTCTCAAAAGTCGCAAGCCTTTGAGACCTTTCACAACACAAGCACCCGCGCGGCTCACCTGCGACCCGCGCTCCTCCATTGACGAGCACGACGGCACGCCATGCCTTCCGGAACTCCTCCTCTCCTTCCCTGCTTCTCCATGCATCCTCTCCCTCTCCCTCTCTCTGTCCCTGTCCTTGGGTCGATCCCGCTCCTTCTCTCTCCGGCTTTCCCTCTCTCGTTCCCTCTCTCCGTCCCTGCCTCTCTCCCGTTCCCGCACTCGATCGCTCTTCCGTTCCCTATCCCTATCCTTCACTTCATAGTCCCTATCCCTGCCTCGCTCCCGTTCCCTATCCTTATCTCTGTCCCGCCTTTCCCGATCCTTCCCTTCTCTCTCCCTCCGTTCTCTGTCCCGACTGCCGTCGCGATCCCCCTCGAATCGGTCTACCCTCTCTCTCGTCCTCTCCCGCTCCCTGTCCCTATCCCTCTCTCTGTCCCTGTCCCTATCTCCGTCGCGATAACGATCCCTATCCTTAGGCTTATCTTTCGAATCTCTATCTCTCACCCTCTCGCGCTCTCTCTCTTCGTCCCTGTCCCTATCGCGGCTGCCGCTGCTTCTCCTGTACTCCTTATCCCTATCCCTATCCTTAGCTCTATCCCTATCCCTATCCCTATCTCTATCTCTATCCCTGTCCCTGTGTCTGTCTCTGTCCCTGTCCCTGTCCTTATCCCTAACTCGATCCCTGTCCCTATCCCTATCTCTGTCTCTATCCTTTCCGCGACCACTTTCGCTAGACCTTTCGCTCGACTTATCACTGATAGACCCAGTCACTCGCCCGGCCTTGTCCTTGCTGTCTCGCGTCCTTCCCGCTTTTCCATGGCTGCCAGGTACCGGCGGTCGCACGTCCCACGCTTCCGGCGAAACGTCGCCATCGTCGTCGTCGTCGTCGTAACGGTCCATGGTAACCCTAAAGCAGTAAACCTGACTTTTGGTGGTTCTAGAAAAATACCTTAAAAAAGGTTCAGAAAGTAGCAGTGGTTGCTCTTAAATAAAAACGCATCGGTTACGAGAGTTTAATGTACGCAAGGGCGAAAGACGCGGCTTTAGAGACGTTCGCCAAAAGAAGCAAGACAATGCTGCGTTATTGCATTACTTCAGCGCGTCGAAATGCGCGAAACCCAAGCTCGTGCCGTATCGTACTCCTAGGACTTCGGTGTGTGACAGGAACTGATAGGTGCGCGGTACCAAAAACTGAAATAGCTCCTATCGACCAATGTGCTATCCTAGTGTTACACAGCCCAAAGAATGCTTGTGCTCTTCTATCCTTGCGTTGCCCTAGCTTTTCTTGTTCGTACAACAAGTGTGAGTTTCTGCTCAACACCACCTCTATCATTCGGAATGGCGTTTACTTCGCCTCCTAAACCTTGAGATGTACGTACAGGTTGCTTCTGTTGCTTCTTGAAAAGCAGCCACTAGTGGTGCTGGTTCTGTACGCCAGATACGGCCTCTTTTCATACCTTCCACTAGAAAATGTTACGGGGTCACTCGGCTCTTATTTTGTGTAATTTCATTTCTCAGGGTAGCTGGCAACGTAGCTCCCTTCAACGATTAAACTCAGTTGCTTGGGGAGTAGGCTCGAAAACCCCATGATTCAATCGAACGATACCCGATGCGCAGGGTGTTCGGAAATTATAAATCCGGATCGAGGACCGTAACGGCTATTCCTCCTGCGTTACGAAGTGACTCGGTTTGTGTCTTCCGAACCTAAATTTGCCAGCATTCCGAGTCCCTTTGGGTCTTCCCAACCTCAACTTCGTGTCTGGCTTCGTGTCTGACACGGGATAGAAACGCACCCTAAGGCAACCCACTTTTGATCAGGAAACCATGTTTCTCTACAGAGTACCGTAGGATTTTCTAAGAGGGAAACAAATTTTGAGAACTCAGGCGCAGCAGACACATCATCAAATGCAATCATCAGCTTTAGTAAGAGCAAACCCATACTAGAACACTAGGTATCCACAATACGATCATCTCATGACCTGCTGAAGAAACCAGCGGCAGTCGTATTGTCTGCTCTAAGCCTATGGCTTCCCCCACCCACAGCCGCACCACACTCAGGGCACCGCGACTCCTGCATTGCCATACCGCAATCCCCAATGACGTACACATGCCCATTCGGGCATCGGTACCAATGACCCCCTCCCAAGCCTATCGCCTCGTACACATCAGCCTTCTCGCGTTCGGTCACAGCAAAGTACCGAGGTTCATCGCGAACAGATAGTTCCAGCTCATGCAGGTCTTTCTCGAGCATTCTCCGAGCGCTGCCACCAAGGCTGTCGTTCTCTCTCACTGACACCAGATGGTGAGAGGCCACCATGAGGCATTGCATCTTGGCCCTCTCGAGAAACTCCAGCTGCTGCTCCTTTGAGTCATCCTGCCAAAAAAGCAACATGTGACATCAAGCTCATAAAGCCCAACCAAAAAGGGGAGGGGAAGAAATGGGGGGAAGGGAGGAGGGAGGAGGTGGAATGGAGAACTGGTGGTAGGGTGGAATGGAGAGACGATGAGGAAAGGTGGGAGTGAGGCAGTCGAGGGTAAGAGCAGAGCAGAGTTCTCACCAGGCCAGCCGGGGAGGTTGAGAGCAGGCGTTCCGCCATCATCCCCTCCACGAACGCACGGAACACATCGGCCATCTCCAGCCTCCCCTTCGCCTCCAGCCGGTGCGCCCTGCGCTTCCCAGCCCACTCCACCGCCTCCCCCACATGCCTCTCCGCATTCCGCAGCCCCTTCCGCACAACCTCTCTGCAGTTTTTTACCTTGCGAGCCAGAAACTCCTCTCTACCCGTGCTGTTCTTATCAGTATGGCCAGCAGCCAGACCAGCAGTCAGCACAGCAGTTCGAGCAGCGTTCTGGCGAGACAGCTTGTGGAGTTCAGTCAGCAGGCAGCGCAGCTGGAGGAAATTGGCAGTCATGAGGAGCTGATAGGCTTTCCCCAGCAGCAGGAGGGCTTCACAGAGGGGCCCGGTTTGTGGCTGGGGGACGTACAGCAGCTGGCACTCCTCCTCCCACGCTGACACTGTCAAACCTGCAGGAGAATCTGCAGGTTGTTTTTCAGGAGAAGCTTCAGGTGCATCTGCAGGTGAATCTGCAGCATCTGCTCCAGATGACGACGACAACGATCCCAAGTGGAGGTGCTTCCTCTGCAGAGCAGCTACAGAAGCCTGGTACGTCTGCTGGGTGGGCGGTTCCATAGCCGCCACTCGCACCTTGTTTGCCTGCAAGACCAGTGAAGTCGCAGCTCTGGCCAGCTCCTGCAACTGCCTGGGTTGAGCAGCCTCAGGGCAAGCAGATATGGCCTGGCTCAGCTTGGACAGCTTTGTCTGGAGCTGCTGCTGGTCGGCCAGGCAGCTGAGGGCGAACTTGCGCTCTGATTCGTCCAGCAGCGCCTTGTTCACCATCCTGCCGTACCGGCGGAGGCCTGTGATCGGCTGGCGGCACTCCGGGCAGCCCTTGAGAGCGGACAGACCGCCATCATCAAACGGCCGCACTGCCACCCACTTGCCTGCAGATCCTCCCACCCCGCCTCCAGCCCCCGCTCCAGCAGCACTGCTGCCACCAGCAGACCCATCTTCTGCCTCTTGGTAAACTTGGTTCAGCCCCAGGTGGCCGTCTAGAGTCTCCACAGTGTAAGCATGTCCACATGGCAGCACCAGCACGGGACTCTCGTCCGGATCAATCTCCCCCAGCGTCTCCAGCGTGACTAAATCCACAGTCATTTCCCTCTTCTGCTCCTCTCCACACCCTTCAACCGTGCAGAACCCCTTCGGAGGGCACTTTTCTGAGCAGAGGGACGGGCATTGGTGGCCGCATTTGAGTTTTTTCTCGCACCGCTGCTCGCACGGGAGGCGGTCGCAAGGGGCGCCGCAGGGGAGCGAGCACCAGCCCTGGTGCTTGCAGTGCCACCCGCAAGGCTCGGCGCAGGGCGCGCAGGTTCGGTGGCAGGGCTGGGGGCAGGAGCTGTGCTGGCAGGCCACGAGGCACTTTCTAGTGCAGGGCTTGCAGGGGGTGCCGCTGTGGCAGGGGTCCGGGCAGAGGTGCGCGCAGGGGTGGGGCCGCTTGCATGGCTGTGTGCACTTCTTGTGGGTTTTCTCCAGCTGCTGTTGCTGCTGCTGCTGCTGCTGCGGCTGCTGCTGCTGCTGGTGAAGCTGGTGCTGTAAACCACGCCCCTGGTTGGTGGTAGTATTAGCTGGAGCAACGATACAGTGACCGCAGGGAGAGATGCACGTGTGGCCACAGGAGTCTGAGAGGAAGACTCCGCAGCGGGCGGTGCAGAGCTTGGGGTTGGCTACTCTGGTGGCAGCCTCGCCACACTTGACTGTCTGCTTGTGCCCGCACAGGGGCATCGTGACCTCCACCGTAAAGCTGGTAACACAGAGGGGAGGGCGTGGGAGAGAGAGAAGGGTGGAAAAGCGTGAGAGCAGCACCACACACGCTGTCACGCAAACGGCCGGCCGCACTTGACTGCCTGCTTATTCCCGCACAGCAGCAGCATTGTGGCCTGCACCATTGTGCTTCCGTGATGGACGGACGGACGCTGGAGAGAGGGGAAAGCAACAAGGCCGGGTATTCGAGGGGATGTTTGAAGGGTGTGACAGGCAAAGCAGGATACAGGCTAACCAGGGAACAAGCAGGAGTCAGGGAACAAGCAGGAGTCAGGGAACAAGCAGGAGTCAGGGAACAAGCAGGAGTCAGGGAACAAGCAGGAGTCAGGGAACAAGCAGGAGTCAGGGAACAAGCAGGAGTCAGGGAACAAGCAGGAGTCAGGGAACAAGCAGGAGTCAGGGAACAAGCAGGAGTCAGGGAACAAGCAGGAGTCAGGGAACAAGCAGGAGTCAGGGAACAAGCAGGAGTCAGGGAACAAGCAGGAGTCAGGGAACAAGCAGGAGTCAGGGAACAAGCAGGAGTCAGGGAACACCGCAAATTGAGACAATAGCAGGAAACAAGGAAAAAGGGGGCCGAGAATCTCACGAGCAGCGAAAATGGAAGAGGGCTTCTGACCCTTAAAGCAGGGCACGTTGAAGGCCTGATGGCCGTAGGGGAGTGTGAGTGCCTGGATGGTGACGAGGCAGGGCCCACAGGCCTCGCCACACTGCTTGGGGATTCTAAGTAGCTTACGAGCAGAAGATGGAGGCGGGGTTCTGAGCCTTGAAGCAGGGGACATTGAAGGCCTGATGGCCGCAGGGGAGAGTGAGTGCCCGGATGGTGACGAGGCAGGGCCCACAGGCCTCGCCACACTGCTTGGGGCACGTGTGCTGGTGCGGACACTCCTCCAGAGGGCGGATGCGGTTGCACTCCTTGGGGCAGAACGCATTGGCGTGCGCCCTGTCGTCCCCATGACACCTGTCGGGTGCAGGAAGGTTTTTTGAGTCGACTCAAAAGCAGAACGCATTGGCGTGCGCCCTGTCGTCCCCGTGACACCTGTCGGGTGCAGGAAGGTTTTTTGAGTCGACTCAAAAGCAGAACGCATTGGCGTGCGCCCTGTCGTCCCCGTGACACCTGTCGGGTGCAGGAAGGCAGACAACGCATCATGCAACACTCTCTAGAAAACGATAGATTTCAGCTTCTGCGCCTGGAAGCACGGACACAAGTCAACAGCTGCATGCACATAACTCAGACGACTACAGCATGAGCTGCATGCACGTATATGACACAGTAGTTCAGAAAAAAGTGCATGCATGTATTTCTGACCTCCGAAGACAAGTATGGCCGTAGGGAGTGAGTCGGAAGGAAACCAAACATCTGGGAGCAACCGCCCTTGCTGGCCTTCTCCTTGAACCCCCCTGCGACTTTTCAGTCGACTCAGAAGTAACCTCACTTCAAAATGAACACAGATTCTGACCTGCGGGGGCAGGTGTGGCCGCAGGGAGTGAGCCGAAAGCCGCACATCTGGGAGCATCCGCCCTCGCTGGCCTTCTCCTTAAACTCCCCGGCTCTCTCAATGTGTGTCACCGTGTCGGGGTGGTTCACACAGCGCAGCGGGATGGACTTTTCCACGCGCCCCTTGCTCTCCAGCATGTCCATTATCCGAGGCCAGAGGACCGACTTGGACGTAGCCGCCCTCATGGTGCTGGCATTGCCTTCTCACAAGGAGAAGATTTGTGGGAATAAGGGAGACGGGAGAAAGGAGAACGTAGAGTTGCGATCTGGATGTGCGTCACCGTGTCGGGGTGGTTCACACAGCGCAGCGGGATGGACTTCTGAATGCGCCCCTTGCTCTCCAGCATGTCCATTATCCGAGGCCAGAGGACCGATTTGGACGCAGATGCCCGCATGGTGCTGGCGTTGCCTGCTCGCAGGGAGGATATTGGCAGGGAGATGGGAAACGGGAGATGGGAGACGGGAGATGGGAGATGGGAGAAAGGAAGAAGGGAGATGGGAGATGGGAGAAAGGGAGAAGGGACCGGGTAGCAGGGAGTAAGAAGGCAGCCAATTTATAGCTAGCCCTTATGGTGTGAGTGGGGGGGTTCACACAGCGCAGCGGGATGACCTCCTGAACGTGTCCCCTGCTCTGCAGCATGCCCACGGTCCTTGGCGCGAGGACCGATTATGACTCACCAATGATGTACATGCCATGCTTGGTGCGGGAGAGCAGCACGTTGGTGCAACATGGATGTAACACCACCCTGCATGTATGTGATCAACCACAAGCCTCCACTATTCATCTGAAAGGTAGCACTCACCGATGATGTACATGCCGTGCTTGGCACGGGAGAGCAGCACGTTGGTGCGACATGGATGTAACACCACCCTGCATGAACGCAATCATCCACAATTCAGAATCCACGTATGAGATTGCACTCACCAATGATGTACATGCCGTGCTTGGCGCGGGACAGCAGCACGTTGGTGCGGTTGGGGCTCTTGAGGAACCCGATCTTGCCGTCACCGTTGTTCCGTACGAGGGAGATGATGATCACCGTGCTCTCCTCGCCCTGGAAGCTGCATATTAGCACACCAGAATGAAAAATAAAGATAGAAAGAAAGAAAATAACGAAAAGTGGTCATCTCTCTCGGAACTGTACGGGAGAACGCAAGAACCAGTGTTGCTCGGCACGCACTGAGATGAGCAGGCACGATGAACAAGCAAACCCCGAGTGGCTAAACCAAGCAGAAGGCATCAAAACTCTGATTCGCCAAACCAGACTGCACAGGGATGACCACCACCGTGCTGTGCTCTCCTCGCCCTCTCAACCGCTACTATAAGTGCCGTTGCACCACAAGTCGTCGCAGTACTATAAGTAGGGGAACCTCCCTCCACCTCGCCCCACCGCACTCCATCACAATCTTCACATTCTCATGCCACAAAACAGAACAACCAGGAGTGTGACCTCTCCCCTCCCTCTGGCCAAACTTACTTGTCAACAGTGGCCAGCCGGACCGCATCCTTCAAATTCGCCGTAACCGCCTTAGGCGCAGCAAACTCCAGCCCCAACCCCTTCCCCTTCCCCGCAACCAGCCCATTTCCAGCCTCGTCCCCTTCAGTTCCACCTTCCCTGGTAGCCGCCTTCTCCTCAGCCTCCTCCACCACCTCCGCATCCCCCTCCCCCAGGCGCACGTTCACCACCTGAGAAAGCGCCTGGCGCAGCTTCAGCAGCTGGCCCACATAGGGCGTGAGGATGGTGACTTCGCCTCCTGTGTACCCCTGCTGCAGGAGATACGTGGCGAGGGCCACCACCATGGCTGCCTCGCCCGCGTTGGACTTGGACTTGCCCTCCCTCAGGTCGTCCCCTCCGGTCTCCGGAAAGTTGTGGTCCCAGAAGTGCAGATTGGCCGCCATGCCCCTCACGTCTGGGTACCTGGGGAGGGGAAAAGGAGGAGAGGGAGAAGGGGAGGGATGGACGAATGGAGTTATAGATGTATTTGTTTGAGATATTGAAGTGAGAAATACCCAAGGGAAGATAGGTCACCATTCCCATGTGTGCAGACTGATCCCCATGCGCAGTATGTCCGGGTAGGGTACCTTGGGAGGGGGGAAAGGGATGGATGGGCATTGGAAAAAGAGATGGGCACACAGACTCACAGCAAGGAAAAGTGGAGCCGAGGAGTTCAAAAAAAAAAAAAAAAAAAACGAAACAAAGAAAAAAAATGGTTTGTTGGGTTCCAATACATGGTGCTGCCATCAAGGTGGGCTATGTGAGACAAAGTGCGGCAGTGCTAAGGCAGCAGACATGTCAGACAGACACAATGAAAAATATACCCTTGGGAGCACTGCAAGAATAGGCATGTCTCAACAGTGTTTTGAGACATCTCAAAACACCCTTGGGAGCACTGCGAGAATAGGCATGTCTCAACAGTGTTTTGAGACGTCTCAAAACACCCTTGGGAGCACTGCGAGAATAGGCATGTCTCGACAGCCACATCACCTGTCAAAAAGCAAGTAACCATACACACCCTTGCACGAACGGGTGGTCCCTGAGGTCAGGGTAGATGGTGTAGCGGATGAGGTCAGCAATCTCGGGGCGCAAGCGGCGCTGCATGGCGAGGGTGTACATGGGGATCTGCTTGGAGAGCGCCAAGCCCTTGTGGGAGTCCTCGCCCAGCCCAGAGGGAGAAGCCAAGGGCGACAACGAGGGCACTGGGACCACAGGCATGACCCAACCCAATAGGGAGAAGCCTCACCTCTCAGAAACAAGCAAGTAACCATACCGTACCCTTGGACGAACGGGTGGTCTCGGAGGTCGGGGTAGATGGTGTAGCGGATGAGGTCGGCAATCTCGGGGCGCATGCGGCGCTGCGTGGCGAGGGTGTACACGGGGATCTGCCGGGAGAGCGCGAGCCGCTCAAAGAGAGAGACGTCCAGGTCGAAGCCCTTGTGGGAGTCCTTGCTCAGCTCGTACACCTCCACCTTGGGCCGCAGCTGTAGGTGGTCGCCTGGCATGTTCCAAGGGGATGAATAGAGGGAAAGGAATCCAACCAAGGGATGAGATGGTCAACAAGAGAGTCCTTGCTCAGCTCGTACACTTCAACCTTGGGGCGCAGCTGCAGCTACCCATGACCACTGAGGTACCCGCAACAACAACCACAGGCTACAGCCCATGCCATACCTATGAGAATGATGTGCTGGGTCTGTGGGGTGAGCGAGGTGAGAATATGAGCCTCCAGCACCTCAGCAGCCTCCTCCACGATGATGACTCGCGGGCCAAGCGCTGTGATGAGGCGCTGCATCTTGGCCTTGAGGCTTGCCATCGTGATAGACCCCTGTCCCCGGACGTCATTATCCACCCCACCAACTGCACCTAGGCCTGCAACACCGAGCCTAAGACCAGTCAAGCACCCACAACCACAACCACACCGCCTGTCATACCTATGAGGATGACGTGTTGTGTCTGCGGAGTGAGCGAGGTGAGAATATGAGCTTCGAGCACCTCAGCAGCCTCCTCCACGATGATGACGCGCGGGCCGAGTGCCGTGATGAGGTGCTGCATCTTGGCCACCCCAGACGTGGTCATGCCCACCACCTGCGCCCTCCTCAGCACCTGCAGGTCCTCCACCTGCTGCAACTCACTGCGCTCCCTCACCTTCCTGCACGTTTGCACATACAGGCAAACGCAAACGGGCACGCACGCACACCACACACGCACACAGAAGAACTGAGAATGACTGTGTGGGTGGGTGGGACCAGATTGAATATCAACCCCACCACCTGCGCACTCCTCAGCACCTGCAGGTCCTCCACCTGCTGCAACTCACTGCGCTCCCTCACCTTCCTGCACGTTTGCACATACAGGCAAACGCAAACGGGCACGCACGCACACCACACACGCACACAGAAGAACTGAGAATGACTGTGTGGGTGGGTGGGACCAGATTGAATATCAACCCCACCACCTGCGCACTCCTCAGCACCTGCAGGTCCTCCACCTGCTGTAGCTCACTGCGCTCCCTCACCTTCCTACATGTTCCGAATTCACACCACACACACACACACGCACAAGCAGACAGGCACACACACACAAGCAGATGGGCGCACACGCTGAACAGCTTAGAATGACTGTGTGGGTGGGACCGGCTTGAAGGTCATGCCCACCACCTGCGCCCTCTTGAGCACCTGCACGTCCTCCACCCACTGTAACTCACTGCGCTCCCTCTCACCTTCCTGCACACGCCGGATGCACAAACACAAGGCAAATGCACAGGTGGAACAGCTTAATATTACTGAGAAAGACCAGCCTGCAGGCTCCAGGTATTCCACCTGCTACTCCACCACCAACACCCATGCCATCCACTCCACATTTGACCAGAGTGAAGTTTTGAGACGTCTCAAAACTTCAATCTTATCACGTGGCAACTCCACCACCCAACTCCCATGCCATCTGCTCCACATTTGGCACCACCCTAAACACCCAGACCTTGCATAGCTCGCCACCTCAGCCTCAATGGCGGAAGTGGCAGTGGCGCGCAGCTTCCCCATCCAGCAGCCACAAACTGCTTGAGGCTTGAGCAATTTCAACTCACCAACAGAACCAGCAGCACACACACCTGGAGTAATTTGCAACCTCGGCCGCAATGGCAGCAGTGGCAGTGGTGCGCAGCTCACCCACCCAGCAGCCACACACACCCCTTAGTAAGGGGCCCATACCTCGAGTAATTCGCCACCTCGGCCTTGATAGCAGCAGTGGCAGTGGCGCGCAGCTCTCCCACCCAGCTCTCCACCAGCTTCCTTCTCTCCCGCCCGCTCGTAGCCCACGGGTCCTCCAGCCCTAACAGCTCATCCACCCCCCTGTCACTTCTCTCATCCACCTCCGGACCCGTCCACACCTCCTCCTCCTCCACCACCTCCTCCTCCTTCCCCTTGCTCCCATGCTCCTGCCTGCCGCCCTTCTTCCCCTTGCTACTGCCTTGACAATGGGGTTGATTTGTGCCGTGGCCTTGCCTGCCGTTGTGAATGCCCAAGTCACCGAACGCATGTGAGAGATCCTGCTCCACAGGAAACCCTCCTGCCCCTGCCGCCCCTCCTGCCCTGCCTGCCCCACTCGCTCTCCCTGACGGCACAAGGCCCAGCCATGAGCCGTCCCTGCCTGCCGCCTCATCCCCATCACCGCTGCCATCCCCCTCGTAGAAAGTAGCCATCATGCCCACCATTTCACTCAGCTCCTCACTCACTCCACCGTCCCTAGCACTGCTTGCGCCCACCCACCCCTCCCCCACCTCGAACTCTCCAAGAAATCCCAGGGCATCAAACGCGTTCTGTATACCTGCCTGTTGTCCAGAAGCGGCTATCCCCACTCCCCCTGCGCCCACTCCCCCTCCCTGTGGCGGCCCTCCTGCCCTTCCCCCTCCGCCTCCCTTCCCCCTGCCGGATGCATGACCCTGATCTCCCCACATGTCAGCAGCACCCTTCTTGCGGCGCAGGGTTTCCTTGGGCAGGCCTTGCTTCCACCGCTTCCAGTTTTCACGCCCCACTTGCTGCCAAGACGGGAACAAAAACGGGACCAAGAGAACGAGGTGCAGCGGTCAGAAGCAGGGGATGTTTCATGACCTGATTCGTAAGGAGCCTCTGAATCGCCACTTTCCTTGGGCACCACCGGTTCCCATTGTCTCGCAACACTTGCAGCCAACAGAACAGGGAAGCGGGGTGATAACATCAAGAACTAGACTGGTCTTTTCCCAGGGAAAAACTAACAAAGAACCAAAGCCAGGCCCACACATGTATGGTGCTATCCCACGCAAGCAACCTCCACAACAATTGTGACATGGGTGGTGCAGTGCACGTCAAAGAACACAGGGTGAAAGCCATAATGTGCATTGAGTCAACGTAGAATACACCTTTCCGCCCTTTCACCCACCCACCAATCACCCACCCACGCACGCACATCAAACCCATCCTTGTCTGCCTTGCTGACAGTACGGAGCGCTTGGAAGTAGACGGGGTGGTTGGCCATGAGGTGGGAGGAGAGAGTACCCCACGCCAGAGCCGCCCATCCCCCCTTCCACCCACTTCCACACACACACATGCTTACCTCATAACCATCGGCATCTGCCTTGCTGGTGGTGCGCAGAGCCTGGAAGAAGAGCGGGTGATTGGCCATCAGGTGGGAGGAGAGAGTACTCCACGCCACAGCCGCCCACCCGCCCTTCCACGGTCCACCCACCCACACACACACACATGCTTACCTCATAACCATCGGCATCTGCCTTGCTGGTGGTGCGGAGCGCTTGGAAGTAGACGGGGTGGTTGGCCATGAGGTGGGAGGAAAGAGTACCCCACGCCACCGCCGCCACGTTGTCGCTGCGCTGCTGCAGGGCGTCGCTGTACGTGCCTATCACCTCCTCCACCTCCCTTAGCTTGCTTCCCACCTCGTAGCTTGACTGCCTGTACGCTGCTCTCACACACCGACAGACGCACACACACACACATACATGACTTGTCAGGTAATTGAGAATGAGCCCAATCTTCACAATACAAGTAGTTCGTTTGTGTCACAAGTTTCCAGTTCAAGGCATATCAACAGTAAAAAAAAAAAAAAAAAAGGAAGGAATTAGTGCCGTGCAGTGCTGTGGTGCTCACTTCTGCTGCGATCCAAATTCGAGGTTCGGATGATGTTGAGGAGGTTGTACTCTTGCAGAACCTCCGACTTGCTCCTTCCTCCCACTCGCACCACCTGCACAAGAGGCATAAACAAAAACCACAGCAGAAGTCCCAGACCAAAGTCATTGCACGAAGAGACAGAGGGCTCGTAGAACAACTCAACCTGCCAATGACCCATTCATGGGCCACAAAACCCAACCTACAGCAAAACATGCATGAATCGATTCCAGTGGAACCCAGTCTATAACTCACGTTCTTGATACCGCTGGCGATGAGGCCTTCCAGGAACTGATCCAGAGCGTGGTTGGTGAAGCACACGCAGGATGGGACTTGCAGGAGGGATGGGACTCTCTACCCAGCCATCCCAGCACGAACCTGCAAAGCTTTTCAACTCACGTTCTTGATGCCGCTTGCGATGAGGCCTTCCAGGAACTGATCCAGAGCGTGGTTGGTGAAGCACACGCACAGGATGGGCCCTGCGGAACTCGCCAGCTCCCTGCCTCGAGCAAAATGACCTGCCGAGCTGCTCTTGAGTGGATTGCTCAGCAGAATCTCCACAAGTTTGATCCCCACGAACGTCTGCCACCACGTGAATATACAAGAAAGTGTGCAGCATAGCATGCCCACAGCACCATAGGAATGAGCTTTTGTGTAAAGCCTGCACGAGCTTTTGTGTAAAGCCTGCACGAGCTTTTGTGTAAAGCCTGCACAAAACTTAAACACGGGTTTGCAATACATAATCGCAGTTCAGAGCAAAACGAAGACTCTGGTTTTTGACCGACCCACCTTGCCAGCCTGTCCCTCTCTCACCTACCCCCCTCTCACCTGCCCCCTTCTCAACTACTTCCCTCTCACCTGAGCGAACTCCTGAGTGAGGGCAGCCTGGAGCGCCGCAGCTTGGGGTTGGTCCAGCGATGCTTCTTAGCCTCTCAGCTAGATGTCACAGCTCGTCAATTTCTACATTCACCCAATTTTGAGTCGCCTCACCACTCACGTGCTCACACAACCCACCTTGCCAGTTCCCGGGGGCCCTTGCAGCAGAGCGAACTCCTGAGTGAGGGCAGCTCGCAGAGCCACGGATTGAGGTTCGTCCAGCGACGTGCAGCGCAGGAGCGCATCCATGGGAAAGGCCGTGGGGCTGGAAATCATCACGTTCCTCATGGCAAACTCGTCTTCTGCGGTGTTCTGTGGCTGCTGGGAGGAGGAGGAGGGCACTTTGGTCTTGAGCAGCAGGCTTAAGTCGTACCTGCAAGCAAGCAAGGGAACACACAACAACGACACGGACACACACGCACACACACGCACGCACACGCACGCACGCACGCACGCACGCACGCACGCACGCACGCACACACACACACACACACACACGGCACTGTATTAATGACGGGAAGGTATTGGGCTTCTGAATCAACACGAAGGGCACACGCTGGAGCGGTCTGTGCCTGCTGGAGGGAGGCACTGACCGTGAAGGGCGCCACCTGCTGGAGCACGTCCTATGCACGACCTACTTGCGTAAGGTAGCTGAGTCTCCCCACCCACCACAGCCCCATTCAGCTCCTCCCATTCAGCCCCTCTACTCCAGCATCCCATTGCAGGCCCCCCTCATTCCCCCCTTTCCCACTTACGTCATGCCCCCTTTGATGTACGCAGGCAGCTTGTACGCTCCAGGTGCCCTCCCAGGTGCCCCTCCAGGTGCCCCACCAGGTGATCCGCCAGCTGCCCCACAGATGTACTCAGAGAAGGGCAGCGACGCGTCAGTGATGCTCTGCAGCGCCTTCAGAATCGGCTCATACGCAAAAAAACTCCCATGCGCCTCCAACATCACCACCTGTACGCCCTTACTCCCGCCTCTGCCCCCACTGCCGTCCTGAGCAATCAGCCCCAGCAAATCCGCACTGAACCCGTTCTCTCCACACGGCTGAACTCCAATCTGCGGCCTGGCAGTGGCAAGCCTCTTTGTGTCGCGGGCCGTGATGGTGGCGAAGACGAGCCGGTGGGAGGAAGAGTCGCTCGCTGAAGTGTCTCCCGCAGGGGGGAGCGGCTGCTGCCTGCGACTGCTGCCTGCTGCTGCCTGCCTGCTGCGCTGGGTGTCTCGAATCCACAGGCAGACCAGCGAGCCGTTCTGCAGCCTCCGCGTGTTGTCCCAAAACTCCACCCTGAAAGGAAACACAAGGAGGACGTGAGAAAGTGGATAGGCACAGACTGTCCAAAACTATCACAGACAACCAGAACGCCGCAACAGCCAACCAGGGCCGCCACATGCTTGAGCATGATTGAACCACTTAGGCTAAAACGGGGGTTACCTGTTACGAGCGCGCAGTTCCCGTGGCATGGGACTCTCGGAAATTAATCAGAAAATAAACCCCGCTCCTCTTGTACAAGGTTTTGAGTGCAAGAGCGGGATACCTATTACGAGCATGCCGGCCCCGCGGCATGGGAGGCTCAAGGAAGTCGATCAGAAAGTACACGCCGCTCCTCTTGTCCGTGTTAATGGACAACACACACACATCGCACAGCAGATACATGTCCATGTCCTCGGAAGAAAACCCCACCACGCCCTTCATATCCTCCGTTGGACCAAGACTGGAGCACATTCCATTCAGGCATAAATTACATGGGTGAGATGCCTAACCTTGAGTTACCTGTTACGGGCATTCCGGCCCCGCGGCATGGGAGGCTCAAGGAAGTCGATGAGAAAGTAAACCCCGCTCCTCTTGTCCGTGTTGATGGACAGCACGTGCACATCGCGCAGCAAATACACGTCCATGTCCTCCGAGGAAAACCCCACCACGCCCTTCATGTCATCCGTCAGACCCCGCACCAACTCCCTGTCCGCCCTCAACAGCCCCATCGCATCCTCCTTTCCACCACCACCACTGCCACTGCTGTTCCCGCCACGAGCGCCCCGGGAGGATTCGTGGTTGAGACGGTGGAAGAGGAAGAGCGCCTTGCTCCAGAGAGGGGCAATCAGGTCGTGGCGGAGCAGGCGGAATTGGATGTCCACGTGGCGGGCCACGGAGCCCGCTGGCAGGTGGTGCGGCTCGCTGGGGTGGTTGTGCGGCAGGTAGGGCGACGCCTTGCACAGCACCTCCTCCATCGTTGGAGCCACTGAGATCTGGATTCGGGCAAGGGGAAAGGTATCAGGAGAGGAGGCGTCTGGTCTGGTCTCTCAGAGTTTTTTTAGATATCTCGAACACCCTTCTGGCAGGTGGTGGGGCTCGTTGGGTTGGTGTGCGGCAGGTATGGCAAGGACTTGCACAGAACCTTGTCCATTGTAGGAGCCACCGAAATCTGGATTCAGGCAAGGGAGGAGGTATTAGGACAGGAGGAGTCTGGTTTGATATGTCCTGGAACACCCGGATGGCAGGTGGTGCGGCTCGTTGGGGTACATTTGCGGCAGGTAGGGGGCAAGGTCTTGCACAGCACCTCCTCCATCATTGGCGCCACTGAGATTTGGAGTCAGGCAAAGAAGGTCATAAAGGCCAGGAGGAGTCTGGTTTGATTTATCCTCGAACACCCGGATGACAGGTAGGGGGCAAGGTAGGTAGGTAGGGGGTGGATTTGCGGCAGGTAGGGGGCAAGGCCTTGCACAGCACCTCCTCCATCATTGGCGCCATCGATATCTGGAGTCAGGCAAAGAAGGTCATAAAGGCCAGGAGGAGTCTGGTCTCGGAGAATACGTATCATCAGGACAGCCGGCGTTTGGTCACAAAAGAGAAGATCATCAGGACAGGAGCCTCGTATCAGGCAACAATTGATCAAGGGAGGAGAAACTCATGAAAAAAAAATATTAGGATCAAACCAGAAATGGTTTTATTGTCATCAATGACTGCCATACCAAGTACATCAGATCAGACGATGACCATTATCTTACAGCTGAAATCTCAAGATGGTCGTTGTCATGCCTTGGGTGGCCATCCAAGCTGAGCTCGCCCGGACCATCCACAGCTTGCATGCTGGACGGATGCTGACCTGCACGACACATGGTTCACAGCAGCCAGAATCTCAAATCATTTGTGTCATGAACTTCAAATTCGACGACAATCATCTGTCTTATGTCAAACATTTCACATCAACATCTGATCAAAGCAGCAGCTCATGGAACTGCACAGACGATCCTGAAGGGAAGAAGTCAGCATGCAGACGCTGCCCTTCCTCCATCCTCTGCCGCTGTCTCTCACTCTGCTGACGCCTATCCAGCGACTTTTGAGATATTCTAAAACTCAACATGCAAAGGCACAAGACAAACGAACCTGAGGGGAAGAACTCAGCATGCAGCAGCTGCCCTTCCTCCATCCTCTGCCGCTGCCTCTCACTGTGCTGCCGCCTATCCAGCGACTTCCTTAGCCTGTAGATCACCGAGCGAATGCTATGGTACTTGCCATCAAACACCGGCTTCTCCCTCTGCCATTTCTCCAGCATGCCTTCCACCTCCTGCATGTCATTACTAGCTTGTGCCGCGTCGAAGAGAGAGTAAAAACGGTCCATGGAAAGGTTGAAGAAGCTGATGATGACGTGGAATGCCGCGTCCCAGTCAGTGATATTGTCGTCGTCCCGTGACAGATCGCGGATCATCCCGCGTTGGGTTAGGAGGCGCATGCAGCTGATTAGGTACTCCTGAAGACCTTCCACCTCGACGATTGCTGCTAGGGTAACGTTGACCTTGCTCGATGCAGGATTGTTGAAAAATTCCAGCTGCAAAGCACCATTTTCAAGAATGAAACGCAGAAAACTCATTTGAGTTTTTTAGGAAGCTTAAAGAATGAATCAGAGCAAAAAGACATACCATGCTGTAGCGAAATTGCGTGCAAAATCGCAGGATGTTACCTGGCAGATGACCCTGAGCATCGGAAGAATCACGCCCTGAAAGGAAACGAATCGGCTGTGATTCCCAGCAGACACGGATCTTGAAGGACCGCAAGCCACGGCCTCTCGGCAGATGCTGACCACCTTCTTTCTGCCAAAGAGCTTGTCGTCAGCCAGCACAATGACCAGATCTGCAGTAACGGTTTGGGATTCACAACAATACGAGGATAAATCTTTAGTCGACTCGAATGTCTTTCTGCCAAACAGCTTGTCCTCAGCCAACAGAATTACCAGATCTGCAGAAACGGTTGGAATTAACAGAAATAATCTCGTGACGTCAGCATAGTTGACTGACAACTTGAAAGCAGCAGTAGCAACACTCCAAAGGACTATCTGTCATCATGTGATGGTTGAAAAAATGGTTAAAATTGTTAAGTACCTGAAGCGTCATGAGCTTCCATTGCGTTCACGAAAGTCCTCATCTGAGACTGATTCAAGAAATCTCTGTCGTTCGGTAGAAAGGACCACAGGGTAGGCCCCCCCCTCCTCTCATGTCCGTCTGAACTGGACGTTCCTCCTCTTCCTCCACCCTCTCCTTCCCCCCCTCCTCCTCCTCTCCCCCCTCCCCCTCCTCTCCCTCCTCCTCTTCCTTCTCCTCCTCTTCCTCCCCTTCCTCTCTCAACTCCCCCCCCGCCGCGGCATCCCACATGATTCTGATTCTGATGATCAAATTGCCGCCCTCCTCTGCCTCCTAAGATTCCCCGTCCGCCATGGTTCCAGCCTCTTCCCCTGCCGCCTCCTCTATGGAAACCGAACTGGTTATCCATGGCTCTCAGCACTCTAGAAGAGTGTTCACCAAATACGGTACGACCCAAACAAAAAAAATCTAGTTGAGAGTGTTCGAATTCTGGCGTAGGACAGACTTGCTCTAGGTGTACTCTAGCGGCACAGAATAATCTGCTTTGGGTGGGCGTTCCAGGTCCGACCAATAAAACGCTGCTCCTCTAGGAGAGTGTTTCAGGTCCGGCGTAGGACAGTCTTCTCTGGGCTTGTCTGTTCCGAATGAAGTCATTTGTTTTCCTTCAAATTGGACATTTCACTCTCTTTGGACATTTTACACTCTTTCTCACAGAGCCCCCGTCAGTAGCTCCACCAGCACAAGCAGTGCCAGTGAGCTGATGATGTGAAGGACATCCGTTCCGAACCGATCCGATTATCTGGTAACTGCTTGTGTCCACATTTCTCAAACGACATCCATTGATATCTCCGCTTTTGTCACTTCCACCACGGGGTGAATGTGCCCTGAATCGATGTTGGGGATGAGTGGAGTGCCCCAAATTTGACTATGGCTGTTTCTATTCGCTGGATTTCCCGTTTTTTGCCCGTTTCCCTGCCCGCACCAAGCACTCTCAACACCCCTCGACATCCCCAAGGGATCGGGGATGTCGAGGCTGAGTCTCGAGGTGTCGATGGCCCTTTGAACGCATGCATCTCGAAGAAGCACCCAAACAAATCCCGTCCACTTCTGTCAAAACCCGTCAACATCCCGCATCCCACTTCCGGCATGCTGCAGAACTGCCAAACAAAACGACAGGCTTTGGGAGCTCCTCACGCCTAGATGGTTCCGCCTGTGCTATGACGCCTTTCTCACGCCTACTTCACGCCTTGTCTCCGAGGCGGTTTGTGACATCGCGTGCTGATCAGTTACCACTGGAAGTTGTCGCCCCCTTCTCATCTACAAGCAGGTCTAGTATGCTTCCTATAGTTGCAGAGAATGTTACATACGGATTCCATGGATATATTGCCTTTCTATACTGGGTGCATTTTTTGCACTGTGATATGATATCCTGCCAGGAAACTACACAATATGTACATGGTAATCAATAGAAAATTCTTATTTTCGTGTAATTTCTTGGCATCCAAACATCTGTTTTATCCATGTTCAAGTAGAGAGCTTCTAATGTTTTTGTTGTACACGTACCTATACCATGATTGAACGTACATGCGGATAATGGCTGGAATCAGTTATCATATGGAAAAACGATTTCCTTCTTATAGGGGCCTTTCTGCCTCGCGATTGGAATTTATACTTCAGGTCAGGCCAGCCTCGTCAAAATCAAGGCTTCCTGGTTCAGGTAATCCCACACACCAGCCTAGCATGTCCTAGAATTCCTCCGCCATCTCTCTTGTCGGGATGTTCTCGAGCGGTACACTCTAGTCGTCACCTGTACCGCTACGGTGTTCTGAACCTTGTTCCGTTGCGCCTGGAACTGCGATTTAGGCCTTGTTATCAGAAAGCCTAACTACAGCGATTTCCATGAAAGGTTGACTTACTGAGCTAGACTGCAGACCGTCAAAGTCGTCGGATCAGTCACGCAGATCGCAGTCAGTCAATGGCGACTGTCGCGAGTCCGCAAGCGCTGTTCGCGAATCCAGGGTCATCGTCACTACCACCAGCAAGCCTAGGCTCTGCAGCGATGACAAGTCAGGGTGGTCCTGATTCGGCCGAGGAGAGAAGGTCGTCGGTTCCGCAGCAGCTATCCTCGGAAGAGCTGGCTGCTCAATTGCTGGACGAGCTATTCGGTTCCGACGACGATTCGGTAAGCAGCGTCATTGAATGTTCGATTAATCAAAGAGCTGGCTGCTCACTTCTGAGGAAGATTCTTTTTGTTACGGGTCAACTGTTTGGCTCTAACAATGATTCGGCAACGTGGAAACGGGAAGCTATTAGTTGTATACAAGCATGCGAACAAAGTTAACCGCCTTCTCTCTTGCCCAATATATGCAGGATGATGCCATGGGGTCTGCACTGCACACAACAGGAGGCGACCTGACTTTCGGCGAAGATGTTGCTGTGTGAGTGAGCACTGAGCCGCTGAGCTTTAGAGCATTAAAGCGACATTGTTGAATTGAGGCCCAGAGGCTTTGAGCGCTTAGCCTCTGTAGGCACGGAGCCGTTACAAGCAAGACCATCGTTACCGAACCTGGTCCTTATCGTTTGCATGTGAAGTCATGGCAGCAGGAAAAATGTAACAGGAGTGACGGGTTGGCTGGGCTGGGCCGTGTCCTTGTGTGTGTTTGGTGTTCAGCCAGGCCGTGCCTCATATGCCCTTTCATTGGCTACCTCTCTGTACCTTTAACGTACGCACAACAATTTCCGACATTCTCCTTCTCTCCTCTGACATTTTTCTCGGGCGTCTCTGACCGTTCTCTTCCTGCAGGGACGAGTCTTTTCTTCAAGGGCTTCGGGAGGACCTGGATCGGTTTAAGGACCATGAGGTCAGTCCTGACTCCTGAGGTGATCCAACTGAGTAGTGGAAGTTTTACCATCTTAACATTTTGAGGACTATCTGCCACCAGTAGTCAATAATCTGATGTCAATCCAGATTCCTTATCCAAGGAATGGGATGCGACACTTTGTTCCTGCATCTCTTTCTCTCCGTCTCGCCTTTCCAGGTTGTGTCTAATATCCTGGGTCAAGGCGAGTGCTCGGGAGGTGGAGGAGAAGCTGAGGCAGGTGGAGCTGGAATCTATCTAGTTCTCACACCCACCACAAATAGGGCTTTGAATGTTTACCTTTTTCCTCTTCTCGCCATTCCAGGTTGTGTCCAACATCCTGGGTCAAGGCAGTGACCTGCGTGAGTTCGCACGGGAGGTGGAGGAGAAGCTGAGGCAGGTGGAGCTGGAGTCGATTCAGCCCCCCCCCCACCCACAACAAATCGGACTTTGCTTGCATGTGTCCCTTTATCCCCCGCGCCCCAACCCCCTTCCAGGTCGTGTCCAACATCCTGGGTCAAGGCAGCGACCTGCGTGAGTTTGCACGGGAGGTGGAGGAGAAGCTGAGGCAGGTGGAGCTGGAGTCGATTCAGGACTACATGAAGGAGAGCGACAACCTTCTGGCACTGCACGCTCAGATCAAGGACTGTGACCTCGTGCTCACCCACATGGAGTCCCTCCTCGGGGGCTTCCAGGTAAGCGGAAAGGAGGCACGAGGGGAGAAGGCGGGTGGGGGTGCGGCTGATTCATATCCACTCGATTCAGGACTACATGAAGGAGCGACAACCTGCTGGCGCTGCACGCTCAAATCAAAGACTGTGACCTCGTGCTCACGCACATGGAGTCCCTCCTTGGGGGCTTCCAGGTATGCGGAAAAGGAGGCACAAGGGGGGAAGGGGGGTGGGGGAACGGCTGATTCATATCCACTCGACTCAGGACTACATGAAGGAGAGCGACAATCTGCTGGCACTGCACGCCCAGATCAAGGATTGTGATCTCGTGCTCACCCACATGGAGTCCCTGCTGGGGGGCTTCCAGGTACAGATAGGAAGGACGCATTACATAGAATCTTGGGTGGGCTGATTGGATTGGATTCGATTCAGAAGTACATGAAGGAGCGGAGAGGAGAGCGACAACCTGCTGGCGCTGCACGCTCAGATCAAGGACTGTGACCTTGTGCTCACCCACGTGGAGTCGCTCCTTGGGGGCTTCCAGGTATGAATGGGAAGAACAGTTTAAGCAGGAAGCTCGGGGTGGGGGGTGTTGATTGATTGTCCTGGAGTCGATTCAGGACTACATGAAGGAGAGGTGAGGAGAGCGACAACAACCTGCTGGCACTGCACGCTCAAATCAAGAACTGTAACCTTGTGCTTACGCACATGGAATCGCTGCTTGGGGGATTCCAGGTGCGGAAAGCAGTAGGCAAGAGGGAAAAGTGGGGTGCGCAGGGTGTGATTGAAATGGTTTTGATTCAGGACTAGACGAAGGAGAGGAGAGGAGAGGAGAGGAGAGGAGAGGAGAGGAGAGGAGAGGAGAGGAGAGGAGAGCCGCAACCTGCTGTGTAAGTAGACGACTTTTGAGACGTCTCAAAAGGAGAGGAGAGGAGAGGAGAGGAGAGCCGCAACCTGCTGGCGCAGTTGTCGTGTTGCTGACTACAAGATCACCATTACCTCAGATCAAGGACTTTGACCCACATGGAGTCCCTCCTGGGGGGATTCCAGGTAAGTATTGGGAGAAGAGTTTAAGCAGGAGGAGGCATGGAGAGAGGGGATGATTGGATTGAGTTCCCTTCAGGATTGCATGAAGGGGAGCGGTAGCGCTGGTGCTGAACTGGTTGGTCTGCTCATTTTTTCCTCTCCGCTTCTTATTTTCTCCCATCTCTTCAGGCGGATTTAGGAGCGGTGAGTGCGGAGATCAAGGACCTGCAGGAGCGCTCCATGGGAATGGCGCAGCGACTCAGGAACAGAAGGGTACGTTGTTGCACACACAGCACCGGACTAGAGTGGGGAGGGGGAGGGACTTGTCAACATGAACGCGTATGGTACGCTGCACACGGATCCAATTTTAAAAGGTCTAATCGACGATGTTGAAAAATGAGGAGGGGGGCGAGGGGTACACTTGAGTGCTGCAGGTTTCTCTCCCCACTCTATGTTTCTCTTTCCCTTCCGCAAAGCCATGCCATTTCCCTCTCATCCTTCAACCACGCAGGCAGTGGAGGGGCGGTTGGGGCGGTTTGTGGAGGAGATGGCAGTGTCGCCAGACCTGATTGACACGGTGGCGGAAGGCGAGGTGGGCGAGGGGTACATGCGCGCGCTGCAGGCACTGAACCGTTCACTCTCCCTTTGCCTTCCCACCACCCACGCAGGCAGCAGAAGGACGGTTGGGGCGGTTTGTGGAGGAAATGGCAGTGAGTCCGGATCTGATCGACACGGTGGCGGAGGGCGAGGTGGGCGAGGGGTACATGCGTGCGCTGCAGGCGCTGAACCGCAAGCTGCACTTCGTGGCCGAGGAGCCCAGCGCTCGGTCATCCGCTGCCATGCGTGATGTTCAACCCGAGCTCGACCGCCTGCGCGTGAAGGCTGTTATCAAGGTAGGCTGGGAGTGCGGCTAGGCTGGGAGGTGCGGGATTGTGCACGGTTCTGGGCGCTGCAGGTGCTGAACCGCAAGCTGCACTTGGTGGCCGAGGAGCCCAGCGCTAGGTCATCTGCTGCTATGAGGGATGTGCAGCCTGAGCTGGATCGCCTGCGAGTCAAGGCTGTGATCAAGGTGGGTGACTGTGAGTGCAAGCAACCTGGTAGGGATCAAGTGCACTTCGATTTTTTAGGCGCCTCAAAAATCAAGCAACCTGGTAGGGATCAAGTGCACTTCGTTCGTGGCGGAGGAGCCCAGCGCCTGTTCATCTGCTACTGCCATGCAGGATGTTCAGCCGGAGCTGGACCAGCTGCGAGTCAAGGCAGTGGTTGAGTTGGGTGACTGTGGTGACTGCATTGGTATAAGTGAGGGAGAGCGGAAGTGGTGGTGGGGGTGGTTCTTCGTGTACATACATGCTGATGTGCTGTTGTTGTTTGTCTGTTTGCAGGGGAGGGAGTATCTGATGCAGAAGATCTATGCTCTCCGGAAGCCCAAAACCAACATCCACATCCTGCAGCAGAACGTGCTCCTCAAATACAAGTGAGAAAGGGGAGAGCCCTTCAAGCTATTGAAATTCCTTGCGATATTCTTGCAAACGGCATTTCAGTCAGTCACATTATGGATGAGGAGCATTGATTGGCCTGGCCCCAGGAGGTAGCTACACCGTTTGGTTTTTATTCTACTCAGGTAGAGGTTAAAATGACTAACACACTACTGTTTTCCCTTGTCTCTGCTCAGGTACTTGGCAGTGTTTCTCAAGGAGCATGGGCGGGTGGTGTACACTGAAGTCAATAACGCGTACATAGACATCATGAGCAAGGTAAGAGTTGGCGCAGGGAAATCTATGATCCAAATCATTATGACTGAGAGTCATGTGCTTAGTTTACCTCCTTCCGTTCCTCTCCTCTCCTTCTTCCTTCACCCGTACCGGCCTCCAGCAATGTCGGTTGTTGGCAGATCATCCTTGTTCTTACTCTGCCTTCGCTATCCTGTCTTTGCTACCCTCTTTCCCCACCTTCAGGTGCTCTCTCTCCACCTTCGCACCTACATCTCGTCTCTGGAGAAGCTTCAGCTCGACATTGTGTCACGAACAGACTTAATCGGCGTCGATGATAGCAACAAGCTTGCTCAGACCATCTTTGGCCGTGCAGGGAGGGACCTTAAGAACCGGTCGGCTGTGTTCTCATTGGGCAGCAGAGACCAGGTGAGAGAGTTTTTTTTCTAGACTTTTTTAGAAAACTTTGGCCGTGGGGGAAAGCTTTGTTAGTGATTTTTGAGAATTCTCAAAAATCACTCGCAAGAGGGAAAGCTTTGTTCTCTATTCCCTCCAATGCTAGTGTGCAACACCTCATCCCGCCAGGTGCTGAGGGATGTGGTGGAACCGGCGATCGTCCCACACATTGCCGCAGAAGCGGACAAAAGCAATCCTTTCTTCCTGCCAATGAATTTCTTCGTGCTGGTCCTGCACCCGCCTGCGAATCGTTCCGACTCAACCGAACCCTCCAGGTGCTGAGGGATGTGAAGGAGCCGGGGATCATCCCGCACGGGGTTCTCTTGAAGTTGCCTATTTCCTCTATTTTTTGCTTGTGTGCAACACCTCCTTCCTACCAGGTGCTGAGGGATGTGGAGGAACCGGCGATCATCCCACACATTGCAGAGGCGGACAAGAACAAGCACCCCTACGAGGTGCTCTTCCGCTCGCTGCACAAGCTGCTCATCGACACCGCCACTTCAGAGTAAGCTTGGACCGCGCTTAACCTGCACAAGCTCTATTTTCTAGGCTCCTCAGATACAAGAACAAGCACCCCTAGGAGGTTCTCTTCCGCTCACAGCACAAGTTGCTCATCGACACGTCCACGTCAGAGCAAGCCAGTGTTCCACTGAGGTTTCTGAGAGGGAAACAAAAGAATAGGAAACTTCTCCGAGTCATGTGTTGCAAAAGCTGCTCATCGACACTGCCACCCACGTCAGAGTAAGCCAGTGTTGCCTGATTGTCGAAGCTTATTGGAGTCCTTCTCACTCAGTCTTGCGTGTTTCCAGTCGTCCCAAAACATCGCTCGTCATGTGAGCCACCACATGTGAGCAAGCACACCACTTTCTTCTCCCTCCTTCGCTCCCTCCACTCCAACTGCCACCGTCAGGTTCCTATTCTGCAACGAGTTCTTTGGAGACGACTCCACCTTCCATGCTGTCTTTGCAGGTCAGGTTTCTATGGCACTTGCCTACCTCTACATTCTTTTACTTTAGCAAGTCTCTTACTGTAGAGCATGCATCCGATGGCTGTGCTTCTTAAGTGCCATGAGCATCAAGCAGAAGCTGTTAAGCATGCATGAATTTTATGTGGCGTGCCTCGCCTCTTTACCCCTCATCCAACCCTGTCCACACAGGTCCTTTCGCTGTGATAGACGAGCACTTTGCAGCTGTGCTGCCCAACTGCTATGATGCCATTGGGTTGCTGCTTATGATCAGGATGACTCGCCAGTTCCAGGTGGGAGGTTCGCCCTGGTTTCGAAGTGCCATATAACTGTATTCTCGGCTCATTTCAGTTTTAGTCAGCTTTAGCTGCTTGAATCAGGCAACTTGACACTGCTCCTTCTCGCCTTTCGTAGCTGCTGCATTCCATCTGGGGCATCATGGCCTCTGCTTGGCTTTGTCTCCTTTCAAGACATCAAGAGGAAAAAAAAAGTCCCAGGCCCCGAGTCGTTGCCTGGGGGCCTCAAGTTGTAAACCACTGCCTTGTGTTCACTACCTTTCGTTGCTTATTTTTTGCTGCTTTTATTACAGGACATCATGAAGGCGAGGAAGGTCAACTGCTTGGACCAGTACTTTGACAAGGTGAGGTCAGTAGAGGTGGGAGCCTCTTTGCTGTGTGTGAGGCGTCGGAGAATTCTCAAAAGTGTGTGAGGCTTTTGAGAACTCTCAGAAGGTCAGCTGCTTGAACCAGTACTTTGACAAGGTGAGGTCAGTAGAGGTGCGAGGCCCACTGATGTGAGTGAATGAAACCAGGGTAAATGAAAAAGCGAGAGGGAGTGCTGCTGTGAATCGGCTACTCTTTCTGCAAATCTCTAGGTTTTGAGTTGACAAGAAGCCTGGCACCCTCTGTAACATTACCATGTAGATTTCAATCCTTCCGTCACCTCCAGGTGAATATGCTCCTCTGGCCGCGCTTCAAGCTGGTGTTCAACCTGCATCTAGCCAGTCTGCGCCAGGCCAACCCGCTTCAAGCTGGTGTTCGATCTGCTGCTGTGGCCGCGCTTCAAGCTCGTATTCGACCTCCACTTGAGCAGTCTGCGCCAGGCCAACCCGCGCGCCCTCTGGGACCAGAACGTGCACCCGCACCACGTGGCTCCCTCAAGCCCCCCTTCCTTCTCTCATCTCCACTCTTTCCCCTCCATGCTTCTCTCTCCTACCTCCGCTATCTTCTCTCCCTCCCCTGCCCGTTCTCCCTCCCCCTTCTCCTCTCCTAACAGGTGAATCTGCTGCTGTGGCCGCGCTTCAAGCTCGTATTCGACCTCCACTTGAGCAGTCTGCGCCAGGTCAACCCGCGCGCTCTCTGGGACCAGGACGTGCACCCGCACCACGTGGCTCCCTCAAGCCCCCCCTTTCTTCTCTCATCTCCACCCTTTTTCCTCAACCCTTTTCTCTCCTGCCTCCCTCTCCCCTCTCCCATCTGTGCTCTTTCCTACCCCAACCACCCCCTCCCCCCCCCCCCCCCCCGCAGGTGAATCTGCTGCTGTGGCCGCGCTTCAAGCTCGTCTTTGACCTCCACTTAGGCAGCCTGCGCCAGGCCAACCCTCGCGCTCTCTGGGACCAGGACGTGCACCCGCACTACGTGGCGCGGCGCTACGCCGAGTTTGCCGCGTCGCTCATGAATCTCAGCACGGGGCAGGGCGACGGGCAGCTGGAGATGAATCTGGACCGTCTGAGGAGCGCTGTGGACCATCTGCTGGTGGAGATCTCGAGGCTCTTCCCCAAGCCCAAGCAGCGCACCGTGTTTCTCATCAACAACTACGACCTCATTCTCGCCGTGCTCAAGGTGCGATGCTCGTAGGAATGTGGAAATGAACAGGGTCAGAAATGCCATGGGTCACGTGCCGGCAGAGATTTCAAGGCTTATGTTTCTCAAAATGCATTCATCCTTTCCTTCCCCTGCTTGCGCGTGTGTGTGTGTGGTACAGGATGCCGGGGTGGAGGAGGGCAAGACTCAGCGAGGTGACTTTTGAGTCGACTCAAAAGTCACCTTGATAAATTGTTTTCCTTTCGTTCCTTCCACTGCTGGCGTGTGTGTGGCACAGGAGGCGGGGGTGGAGGAGGGCAAGACTCAGCGCCACTTCGCAGAGCTGCTCAGCTCATTCTCAACCATCTTCGTGGTAAGGGGTTGGGCTGGGCTGGGCTGGGCTGGGCTGGGCTGGGCTGGGTTGGGCTGGGCGCAGCTGGGTTGGCCTGAGAGCAGTGTGTGCCTTCCTGTGGGCCTGTGGTGCACCTTCCTCTCGACTGGTGCTTCTCAGATTTCCAGCTGGTTCTTCAGAATTCTCACAAGTGAATATTTCTCCACTATCTCTGTGGTGTGGGGTTGACCCCACAGAATGGTTGACCACACAGAATGGTTGACCACACAGAATGGTTGACCACACAGAATGGTTGACCACACAGAATGGTTGACCACACAGAATGGTTGACCACACAGAATGGTTGACCACACAGAATGGTTGACCACACAGAATGGTTGACCACACAGAATGGTTGACCACACAGAATGGTTGACCACACAGAATGGTTGACCACACAGAATGGTTGACCACACAGAATGGTTGACCACACAGAATGGTATGCTTTCCTGTCGATTCATGTGATTCTCAGTTTGCTGGTTGATCAGCCTTCCACCCTTTCTTTCCACGGTGCCTGTTCACATGCGGCACTCTTTTCTGCTGATTCCTTGTTGCCTCCCAATGCGGCCCAACAATTGGCAGGAGGAGGAGCTCCACGATTACTTCAGGGAACTTGTTGACTTTGTCAAGAAGAGAGCACTCCAAATACCCCTGTCTCTCTCACTCCCCTCTCTGCCTTCCCGTGCACCTGTGGCCTCCTGGCTTTGTGTGTGTCAGGAGGAGGAGCTACACGAGTACTTCAGGGGACTTGTTGACTTTGTCAAGAAGCGAACAGGTGGGCTGCATGCTGTGTGTGCGTGTGTGTTTGGCCGTGCACCACTGAGTGTGGATGTGTGCATGCTTGCCCTCGCATTCACATTGAGTGGACTATCCTCCTCCCCTCCCCTCCACCCTACCCCTTCACCCACACATGCGCACACATGTAACAGGCACAGGCGATGAAACAGCAGATGCAGTGGCGGCGCGCAGCAGCACCGGCAGCACAGCAGGGCGGCGGGTGGATGCTGCTCCGATCACAGCCAAGGAGGTGGAACCCCACCTCAAGGACTTTGCTGTGCGATGGAAGGTGAGCATGAGGAGGAGGGAGCGCAGGGAGGATGCCGCTTAAGTCAGTTGACTTTGTAGCAATGTTTTCATCAACCACATCACAGCCAAGGAGGTGGAACCGCACCTCAAGGACTTTGCCGTGCGATGGAAGGTGAGGGAGAAGAGAGAGGTGGAGTGTTTGTTTAGGCGCCCCAACAAGAGCGACGCACAGCACAGGTCACCCACATCACAGCCGCCGAGGTGGACCTGCACCTCGAGGACTTGTGCTGTCAGATGGATGGAGAGTGAGGGGGAGGAGAGAGCAGATGAACCAAATGTGTTTTGAGGCGCCTCAAAATTCACTTTTTTGAGGCGCCTCAAAATGCACTTAAGTGAGGCGCCTCAAAATGCACTCAAGTGAGGCGCCTCAAAATGCACTTAAGTGAGGCGCCTCAAAATGCACAGGGGAGGAGAGAGCAGATGAACCAAATGTGTGTTGTTCGGCATGTGTTCAGAATCAATATGGGCTTCCTCCTTCCATATACCACCTGCACGCCACCATAGACCTCATCCTCAAGGAAAGGTCGATTTTTGAGTCGCCTAAAAAATCGACTTATCACCTGCACTGCACGCCACCATAGGCCTCATCCTCCAAGAAATCATCGCCAGCCAGTGTTTGAGATTTTTTTGAGCCATCATGTCTCCCGCTTTCCATGTCCCCATTCCACAAAACTGTCAGACATAGACCTGATCCACGAGGGCATAATCACCAACCTCTGCAACTGAAAGTGCAGAGTCGAGAGTGTCTCCCTTGACCAATCCAGCATGCGGCATACCTCATGCACCACCTGCCAGTTCTCCTTCCCGATCCAACAAGCCCCCATAGACCTGATTCACAAGGAAATCAACACCAAGCTCAGCAAGAGTTCTAAACTTCTGAGAACAGTCATATCTCCCCGTTTATGTCCTCTGTGCAGGCGACCATAGATTTGATCCACAAGGATATAATCACCAACTTCAGCAACTTTGTGTGCGGCATCGACAACCTGAGAGCCACTCTCACCCAGCTGCTTCTCCACTATCCCCCCCTCCATCTCCTCCCGCCCCTTCGCTAATCCTACAGGCCACCATAGATCTGATCCACAAGGACATCATCACCAACTTCAGCAACTTTGTGTGCGGCATGGACATCCTGAGAGCCGCTCTCACCCAGCTGCTGCTCTACTACACGCGCCTCTCCGACTGCCTCAAGGTGTGTGTCGTGGAAGCATCTTTGCTGCATGAAAGCACACTACTCGTTCTAAATTGAATGCTCCGTTTCTGTACACATCACAATCCTAAAGCGGCCCTCACCCAGCTGCTGCTCTACTACCTATGCCGCTCTGACTGTCTCAAGGTGTGTTTCTAGGAAACACAATTGCTGATGCCAGTACACACCATCAATGCTTTAAGCACGTATCACAGTGACTTCCTGAAGATGGGTCTTGAGAATGCACAACTGTTTTGTAGTGCACGCTTCTCGTCTCATTTGGAAGTGACTTGATGGCTGTGTGTGCCCACCATTGTTTTGAAAGCCCTTTGATGCGGCTGAGCCTGTTAACTGGCAGTTGTCGACAATGCCTGTTGAATATGTTGCTCATGTATTACATCTGCATTGTCCTTATCCACACATGTATGCCATTTTTTTCTGTGTGTTATTGACCTTCCTCCTCCCCTCCTTATGTGCCAACTGTGACTGTAGCGAGTGGAGGGTGGCGCATCACTAATGAAGGATGTGGTTTCCATACCATCTATCATGTACGAGATCCGCAAGTACAGCCTCACGTTCTAATAGGCCACCCTGGCCTCTCACGATATAACCACCTGTAAATGGCTGGCAAGTCAACAATGGTTTCTGTACCATCTCAATCTACATGTAACATCCCGTACCCCCTACAATGCAACCCAACGTAGCCTACAGGTTCCCAAAAATATATGTGTACACTAACAGGTACAACACGGAGGTTCCTCTTACATGGAGGGCAAATCTCATATCCATCTGGGATGTCATATCTTTGGCCTTCCAGCCTCTGCAGAGAGGATAAGGAAGGAACAGTTAGCAAGACTAGCTCACCCTCCTACCTGTCAGTTATGAATGGAAGTTGTGCATTGCTTAAGTATTTGCTCATGAAAAAAATATATAAGTACGGCAAGGCTATACATCCACTAAATACATGTTTGATTCGGTTTAGGAATATTATAAATTGAGGGGAGCTGCTTGTAGATGAGGAGGTGTTGCAGCTGCCAGTGGAGCTGATCAGCACGCGATGCCACAAACCAAACTGGGAGAATGCATGGCGCGAAGAAGGCGTGAGCGAAGCGTGGGAAACGGCGGGATAATATAGGCGTGAGAAGGAGCTCCCAAAGCCTGTCGTTTTGTTTGCCAGTTCTGCAGCATGTCTGAAGTTAGATGGGAGGTTATGACGGGTTTTGACGGAAGTGGACGGATCTCGTTTGGGTGTTTTCTCGAGAGGTCTTCGTTCAAAGGGCCCTCGACACCTCGACACCCAGCCTCGACACCCCCGATGTCTTGGAGATGTCGAGGGATGCCGAAAGTGCGTCTGGGCAGGAAAACGGGCATAAAACGGGGAATTCAGCGAATAGAAGCGACCACTGTCAGATTTGGGGCATCTCTTTCACTGCATATCATTGTTTTAGGTTACACGCACCTGGTTTTCCGCAGTCACAAAAGCGCGGAGCGTGACATCCCAAAGGGCGGACATCCGTCGATTCGCCGGATATCGACGGATGTTGTTGAGGAACGTAAGCTCTATATGGAACAGATGTGCTTCACATCACATCAGCTCACAGCTCACTGGCACTGCTAGTGCTGCTGGTCAGCAGGAGTGTGAAATGACCAATTTTGAACCGAAATTGGACCTCATTCGGAGCCTTCTGTGGGGCTGTGCTGCAAGTGACCATCAGTGATAATTCACCCCATTCACAAGGAGATTCCGTCACATCATTTCACTGGCACAGCTCTTAGAGCAGGATGTCGTAGGTCGGACCTGGTACCCCATACCAGAGGAACTCTTCTATGCCGCTGAAACACTCTTCATAGATCCGATTGTCCTACGTTGGAATCCAATCACTCAACTATTTTGTTGAGAGGTATGGATCACCAGTCCGGCTCCGGTAGAGGAGGCAGCAGGGGGCGAGGCCGGAATCACGGCGGACGGGGGAACTTTGGAGGCAGAGGAAAGCGGCAGTCTGATCATCAGAATCAGAATCAGAATCAGAATCAGAATCATAATCAGAATCAGAATCATGGCGGAGGTCGCGGACGTGGTGGGAGTGAGAGAGGTAGGGGAGGAAGAGGAGGAGGAGGAGGAGGAGGAGGAGGAGGAGGAGGAGGAGGAGGAGGAGGAGGAGGAGGAGGAGGAGGAGGAGGAGGAGGAGGGAGAGGATCAGAAGGGAGAGGAGGAGGGAGAGGAGGAGAAGGGAGAGGAGGAGGGGGAGGAGGATGGGGAGGAGGATGGGGAGGAAGAGGAGGAGGAGGGGGAGGAAGAGGAGGGGGAGGAGGAGGAAGAGGAGGACGAGGACGAGGAGGGACGTCCAGTTTTAACGGTCAGGGGATGAAGGGTCCTGACCTACGGTCCTTCCTCCTGAGTGACAGAGACTTCGTGGATCAGTCTCAAATGATTTTTTTCGTGAACGCAATGGAAGCTCATGATGTCTCAGGTACTAGCATTTTTTCAAACCTTCCCATGGTGACAAATTGCCCTTTCAGAGAGTGCTGACAGTGCTATTTTCAACTTGTCAGTCAATGATACTGATGTCACAAGATCTAACAATGTTCAATTCTAACCGTTTTTTGCAGATCTGGTGATTGTGCTCGCTGATGACAAGGTCTTTGGCAGAAAGAAGGTGGTTAGCATCTGTCGGGAGGCCGTGGCTTGCGGTCCTTCAAGATCCGTGTCCGCTGGGAACCACAGCAAATTCGTCTCCTTCCAGGGCGTGATTCTGCCTTTGCTCAGGGTCATCTGTCAGGTAACGTCTCGCACTTTGACTAATTATTTGTACTCTTTTTTGGTCACATTCAACCTTTATTTCGTTCGAATTTTGCAATTGAATCTCTGCAGCCCGAGTTTTTCAACAACCCGGCATCGAGTAAAGTCAACATAACCCTAGCAGCAATCGTCGAGGTGGAAGGACTCCAGGAGTACCTAATCAGCTGCATGCGACTCCTAACCCAACGCGGGATGATCCGCGATCTCTCACGTCACGACGACAATATCACCGACTGGGACGCGGCATTCCACGTCATCATCAGCTTCTTCAACCTCACGATGGATAGGTTCTACTCCTTATTCGACGCGGCACAAGCCAATGCAGACATGCAGGAGGTGGAAGGCATGCTGGAGAAGTGGCAGAGGGAGAAGCCGGTGTTTGATGGGAAATACCATAGCATTCAATCGGTGATCTACAGGCTGCGGAAGTCGCTGGATAGACGCCAGCACAGTGAGAGACAGCGGCAGCGGATGGAGGAAGGGCAGCTGCTTCATGCCGAGTTCTTCCCTCCAGGTCCATGCGTGCTGTGCCACGAGCTGCTGTCTGTTTTGATCAATTCCGGCTCATGTCAAATGTTTCAGATTTCCGTCTAATGTCAAGACAATGACACTCGCGTGCTACTGTTGTGATATGAACCATGTGTGCAGGTCAGCGCGTGTCCAGCATGCAGGATGTGGATGGTCCGGGCGAGCTCAGCTTCGATGGCTGCCCGCGACATGACAACGACCATCTTGAAATCTCAGCCGTAAGATGATGGTCATCTTCTGATGTACGTGACATGGCAATCATTTCTGGTAATAAAATTGTTTCTAGCTTGATTCTTGGTAGTGCTGATTTTGATGGATTTTTCGTGGTAGTGCTTATTCTTGGTAGTGTTGCCTGATACCGGATTCCTGTCTTGATAATTCCCTTTTCTGAAACCAGTATGTTCCTGTCTTGATAATTCCCTTGTCTGAAACCAGTATGTTCCTGTCTTGATTGTTCCCTTTCCGAAGAGAAGACCAGACTCGTCCTGTCCTATCCCCTCCTTTGTTTGACCTCAGATCTCAGTGGCGCCAACGATGGAGGAGGTGCTGTGCAAGGCCTCGCTATACCTGCCACACAACCACCCCAGCGAGCCGCACCACCTGCCAGCGGGCTCGGTAGCCCGCCACGTGGACATCCACTTCCGCCTGCTGCGCCACGATTTGATTTCCCCCCTCTGGAGCAAGGCGCTCTTCCTCCTCCACCACCTCAACCACGAGTCCTCCTCCCGGGATGCTCGTGGTGGCGGGGGAAGTAGCAGCAGGACCAGCGGCGGCGGCGGCGGTGGTGGGGGCAGAGGCGGCAGCAGGGAGGAGGCGATGGGGCTGTTGAGGGCGGACAGGGAGTTGGTGCGGGGTCTGACGGACGACATGAAGGGCGTGGTGGGGTTTTCTTCCGAAGACATGGATGTGTATCTGCTCAGGGATGTGCGTGTGCTGGGTATTGACACGGACAGGCGCAGCGGCGTGCACTTTCTAGTTGACTTTTTGGAACCTCCCATGCCACGGGGCCGGAATGCTCATAAAAGCAGGTAACCCAAGCTTATTTGCACTTGATGCCGACTTTTATCATACGCATGCGTGCGTCTTGGTTGGTTCTTGCCTGCCAGCCAGTTGTTCCTGATCGTCAAACCCGCCTAACCTCTTTCTCGCGTCCTCCTTGTGTTTTGTTGTGTGTTTTCCTTCAGGGTGGAGTTCTGGGAGAACACGCGGAGGCTGCAGAACGGCTCCTTGGTCTGCCTGTGGATCCGAGACTTTCAGTCCAGTCATACTCACACTCACACTCACGATCACAGGCAGCAACAGCCGCAGCAACAGCAAATCCCCCCTCCGAGGGACACTCAAAATTCAGCAAGTGATTCCTCCTCCCACCGGCTCATCTTCGCCACCATCACAGCCCGCGAAACATGGAGGCTTGCCACTGCCAGACCACAGATCGGGGTGCAGCCGTGCGGGGGCGACGGGTTCAGTGCGGACCTGCTGGGGCTGATCGCACAGGACGGCAACAGGGAATTCTGAAGGCGCTGCAGAGCATTACTGACACGTCACTTCCCTTCTCTGAGTACATCTGTGGGGCACCTGAAGGGGCACCTGTTGGAGCACCTGGGAGGGCACATGGAGCGTATAAGCTGCCTGCGTACATCAAAGGAGGGATGATGTAAGTGGGAAGGGGAGAGTCACTCTCAAGGGGGGTCTGCACGGTTATGTTGGAGGAGATGGGCTAAAGGAGAGGGAGAGAGGTTGGGTGGGTTGGTCAGAGGGGGGAAATTCATGTTTGTAGTTTTTAGCTTTCTCACAACATTCTTGCATGCATGACATTCTTGCAACAATGGCATGTCTTTTCAGCATTTCAGGATTATTTTCGAGATCTCATCTACCACCACCAAGGCAATGTTCTAAATCCTCACCTCCTCCTCTCATCGAGAGCAAGCCTCCGCGCGTGTGTATGCGCGTGTGTGCCTGTGTTGTGTGTTACCTTGCTTGCAGATCTGCTCTAGACCAAGTCTCCCTCCGTCTCCCAGCAGGCCGAAACTGCCGATCAGCACGCTACAGAGGACGAGTTTGCCATCAGAAACGTGAGGAGTTCCAGCCCCACGCCCTTCCCCGTCAAGGCTATACCTGTGTGTATCCTGTGCTATGTGATCCCTTGCTTGCAGGTACGACTTGAGCCTGCTGCTCAAGACCAAGGCACCACCCTCCTCCTCCTCCTCCCAGCAGCCACAGACTGATCCAGAGGACGAGTTCGCCATCCGGAACG